GCTGCCGGCAATGAGGAGACGACTTTTGAGTTGACTCAAAAATCGTCCCATCACACGCGGTTAATTTAGTGTTTTCATGGGTGATGATGCCGACAATGCAATGCAGCACGCAGAGCAAGAACCAGCAAATACAGAGGCTGCATAGGTGGTGATGCAGCACTACTACTGCTTGGCATGGGCTGCATGACGGTGAGGTGGTGACATGGCGAGGAGATGACATGGCGAGGAGGTGACATGGAGAGGAGGTGACATGGCGAGGAGGTGAGATGGTACGTAAAATGACAAGGTGGAACATTCATGGGAGCATGTGAATACTTACAGGCTAAGTTGGTCATTTACGGTTTTTAGGGCCACGTTAGCGCTAGTGAACGTGTTCGGAATGGATGAATGAAATGTGCATGGGTGGAGCGGATGGATGGGAGGCGTCGGTAGAGAGACCTCACCCAGTGCAACAACTCACGGGTGAAAACGGGGATAGTCACAGCATGCATGCAAAGCACCCGCTCACCAGGTCGATGCACAGAGAGAGGCACAGCACAGCACCATACCGGGTCGATGCGGGGGTAGAGCTTGGAGCGGCAGGCAGCGACGGGGCAGAGGCGGCGGTTGCCCGCCTCACAGGGGGCCGTGCGCGCCCCACACGTCCCGCAGAAAACGCGCTGACCTGTGCCATGCCAGCAGGGCGCGCGCCTGGTGGGGGGAGGGGGAGAGCGGAAGGGATGCGATGCAGAGAGAAGCAGGCAAGGCTGGGGAGAGGAGAGAAGGACGGCGTGAAGACTCGCAGATGAGAGGCGTGCACACGCAACGTGGTTGGCTGTGGGCGTGGAGAGGCTGCGAGTGGATGCGAGATGAGAGGGTCGAGAGAGGTGGAGAGAGGCAGAGAGCCTTTGCGCGACTCACATGGCCAGCAATGGCGAGGTCGTGCCTGGCATGTGCGTCAAGCGGGTGTGTGGCGAGCAAGAGCGTGCGCAGATCCACAAACACTGCCCGCCCATACCCCGCCACCATCACCACCCCTCCCCCTCTCCTCTCCTCTCGCCCTCCTCCCCCCCCTCCTTTCTCTCCTCCTTCTCCTTGTCCCCCTCCCCCACCCCCATCTTTGCTTCCCCCACTACCCCTGTTGTCATTCCCTTGTCCGCTACTGGCGAATCCTCCTCCCTCGCTCCCTGTATCTTTTTCACCAGCAGCAGGCGGAGCGGACGCGTCAAGACCAGGAACGGCAACAGCACCGGCAGCTGCTGGGCGAGGCTCGGCAGGGGCAGCCAGCGCAGGTTCGGAGGCAGGTTCGGCAGGCGTGTCAGGGCTGGGCGGAGGGGTGGCAGGAGTAGCCAGGCTGGCAGTGAGCCGCTGACCCGCCACGTCCCCGCCTCCTCTTCCTCCTCCTCCCCCTCCCCCCCCCTCCTCTCACTTCCGCCCCAGCTGCGCCAGTGCCTGCGGCAGCACTGGTGGCAGCAGTGGCAGCGGTGGGGGCGGCAGCGGCATTTGCGGCCGACGGTGCAGCAGGAGCAGCAGCGACGGTATGGGCAGAGGCGGAGGGGTCGAGCTGCACTTCGAGGGCGAAGTGGGGGGCGCCGTGCCTCTCCCCCAGATACACCAGCTTCTCCCGCACCCTGCTGCTGCCCCCACCGCTGCTGCCTTCAAACGAGGACAGCGGCTGCCAGGCCAGGCACCAGCCGGAGAGCAAAGCGTCCGAGGCTACTGCCGAACCTTCTGCCGAACCTGCATCGGCGGCAGCGGCAGCGGCGGATGGAAGGCGGCGCTGCGACCAGGCGACGAGGACGCGCCCGTCCAGAACCGCCAGCACCTGAGGCTCGATTCGGATCGGATTTGATTCGATTTGAGTGGAATTTGATTCGCTTCGGGTGGAATCCGGCGTGCCTAAAAGGGTCGCCGCGCTGCTGGACCCATGCAGACTCGATATAGGCACGTCGCCGGGCGGCAGGGAGTAATGCGCTGGTAACGAGGACGTTCTTGACGGGGGCACTGCGCGCATAAGTTGCGCGACGCCCAGGGGGGATTTTGCGGGCGCGGAGCCGGGAAGCGCGGAGTTGGGGCGGGAGGAAAGCGGCGGGAGCGGAGGCGTGGCGGGAACGCTGTCGGGCGGGCTGAGGAGCTGCGCCACGCTGGCTTTCTCCTGCTTACGCGGCAGCAGCGGATTGCCCGCGAAGAAGTTGGGATCGCGCGGCGATGGCGGGGAGGTGCGCAAGGGTGACGCCATTGCCGCGCACAGCACTGCTGGCCTCCGCAGTACCTGAAAATACGCAAGTCGGAATCAAGTTACCCTCATAAATGGGGTGTGTGCACGGTGGAGTGCGGTACACAATCTAGGGTAGGTAATTGCATGGACTGGTTACCCAGTTGCTTCCTCAGCTTCTGCTTGATGTCGCGAACTAGCGCCATGAACGGATTGGTCGATTGACGAAGCGCGGGTGCTGGGCAATGCGTGGGTTTCGTTCGTGACAAGCATGATGTGGCATCTCGCATGCGAAATTTTGCAATTCAGGTTGCTGTGTGTTTGCGATAGTCGCAAGTGTGCTTGTTTGGGAGTCTGTAACACTGTGCGGCCCATCAAGATAATCGCGACAGTAACAACGTCAGTCGCACATCGACATGGCGATCATTTTCCTCCGTCGATTGTGTAGATCGATCTACAGTCCCCAAGATCCAAAATTGACGGCTTTTCTGCGCCTTTAGGGTTTTCGCGTGTGGCAGTCACTAAATCCGCCCTCGTTTTGCAGCCACTAATTTCAGTTCATCTTCATTTAGCTAATTCTTCCAATAATCCTTGTCCGCCGCGCCCCAACCCGTCGCCGCGCCCAATTCCCGTCGCCGCCGCCTTCCGTCTCGCTGAGTTTCCGTCACGTTCCCGAGATTCTAACACGCGCCTGATATTCTCTCAATTTCGCTTTTGAATCTCATTGCGGCTCGCGTCACCCCGTCGCGATGCCAGGCCCGCTAGCGGCAGAGGAGGCGGCAGCGGCGGTTGCCGCGGAGAATCTGCCGTCGAATCTGGCAGTCGACGAGGAGGAAGGATTGGGAGATGACGCGGAGGAAGGCGAGGAAGCAACAGAGGTGAGTTGTGAGTGACGAGCGCTCGAATTCCACAAATATGGGATTTCGTGCGGAAGAGGGGAACTGAAACGGTTTCTGCTGGCGGACGCAGACGTTGCGGAAGATGGCCGCTCGAAAGCCACGCGTGCTCCCACGCTGCGCGAGTTGCGTGTGACGTGGCGCTGGGAAGTCTTTTCACGCGAGACGTGTGAAGCTTTGTCGTGATTTGCCAAAATTGAATTTTTTCTTCATATGAAATCCGCCTTTCGTCTAGTTTCCTTGTTCCTTGAAGCTCTCTGTTTCTCCCCCCTTCCTTACCCCCTCTCTTAGTAGACTCTGAATCTTTGCGTTCTTAAGACATGCGGTGAATTGTTTGCTTCTGGAAAGCTATTCCTGATTCTTCACTCCACTTCTATTGATTGAAGGAAATCTTTATTGGCATGCGTCACTAGCCGGACTTTCCTCTACCTTGTGCTGTGTTGTGTGGCGTGGCGTGACGCGGTGTGGCGCGGTGTGGTGTGGCGTTGCGTGGTCTGGTGTGGCGTGGTATGGAGGTGCGTGATGTGGTGGGGTGCGGTGGTGGATGGCAGGAGAAAGGGGCGGGAGGACAGAAGAGCAAGAAGAAGAAGAAAAAGAAGGGCAAGAAGGGAGGAGGGGCGCAGCAGCAGGGGCAGGGGCAGGAGGAGGATGCAGGTGGGGCTGTGGAGAGTGGCGAAGTGTCATCGAAAGGAGAGGGAGCAGCGGAGGGAGGGGCGGAAGGGGAGGGCGGTGATGGTGGCGGAGCAGGTCAGTCAGTCAGTCAGTCAGTCAGTCAGTCAGTCAGTCAGTCAGTCAGTCAGTCAGTCAGTCAGTCAGTCAGTGAGTGAGTGAGTCAGTCAGTCAGTCAGTCAGTCAGTCAGTCAGTCAGTCAGTCAGTCAGTCAGTCAGTCAGTCAGTCAGTCAGTCAGTCAGTCAGTCAGTCAGTCAGTCTGTCTGTCTGTCTGTCTGTCAGTGAGTCATTCAGTCAGTCAGTCAGTCAGTCAGTCAGTCAGTCAGTCAGTCAGTCAGTCAGTCAGTCAGTCAGTCAGTCAGTCAGTCAGTCAGTCAGTCAGTCAGTCAGTCAGTCAGTCAGTCAGTCAGTCAGTCAGTCAGTCAGTCAGTCAGTCAGTCAGTCAGTCAGTCAGTCAGTCAGTCAGTCAGTCAGTCAGTCAGTCAGTCAGTCAGTCAGTCAGTCAGTCAGTCAGTCAGTCAGTCAGTCAGTCAGTCAGTCAGTCAGTCAGTCAGTCAGTCAGTCAGTCAGTCAGTCAGTCAGTCAGTCAGTCAGTGGTGTGGTGCTTTCCCCTTCTGCTGCTGCTAGTAGCGCTGCTGCTGTAACGCTGGCACTAATAACACTGTTGTTATTGCTGTTAATAGAAGCAGCAGTAGCTGCCGCTACTGCTGCTTCTAATAATGGTGATATTGCTAATGACTGGTAATTACCCCATGTTCTACTGCCTTCTCTTGCTGCTGCGTAGCTCCTGTTGGGCCTGTAATGTCCCTTCTCTCTCGCCCCCTCCCTCTTAATGGCTCTCTTTCCCCCTTCTCATCCCCCTCCCTTCCCCTTCCCCTCGTCCCTGTAATAATCAGAGGAAGCGGGTGAAGGCACAGCCACCAAGAAAAAGCGCAAGCCCAGGTGAGGGGTTGTGCAGTGCAGGGCAGAGTGGGCGAGTGAGAGGATTTTTTAGGCGCCTCAAAAAACGCAGCCACCAAGAAAAAGCGCAAGCCCAGGTGAGGGGCTGAGCAGATTGGGGAAGTGAGAGGGCCGTAGGATTGAGTTTGAAGGGAGGATGACGCATGCGCATTGCACACGTGCTTGCATGCGCATGCATGAACTTCTCACGAGTAGCACACACACGCACGCACATACGCTTTCACCCCCATGCATGCATGCACTCCCGCACTCAGGTAGGTTAAGTCTGTTACATGCATTCATGCTCCCTTGGCTGCGCAGAAAGAGGGGTGGCGCGGGGGCAGGAGCAGCAGCAGCAGCAGCAGCTGCAAATGGCGATGCAACAAACGGGGAAACAGCATCATCAGCATCAGCAGGAGCAGCAGCGGCAGCAGCAGCAGCGGCAGCAGCAGGGCCGCGAGTTCAGACGGATCCCCCCAGTGTGCCGGTGAAGGACCTTTTTCCCGATGGGCTCTTCCCTCAGGGGGAGATCTGCGACTACAAGGACGAGTGAGTGCGAGCACTGACCAGTGTGGGAGTTGTGCGACTGGTATGGACAGAGGGAGTGATGTGCAATGCAATGCAATGCAGATGATGCTTATGTGAATAGGAACAATGAGTGCCATACAGCTCCCTCTCACTCTCCCATACAGCTCTTCTGAGGTTTTCATTTGCAATTTGATGATTCTTCTCACTCTCTTCATCCCCCCCACCGCCACCTTACTTTGACTGCCTCCTATCTCCCACCGCTTTCCGCCTTGCGTGCCTGTGCCTGTGCCTGTGCCTGTGCCTGTGCCTGTGCCTGTGCCTGTGCCTGTGCCTGTGCCTGTGCCTGTGCCTGTGCCTGTGCCTGTGCCTGTGGCAGCAACCTGTGGCTGTGCCTGTGCCTGTGCCTGTGCCTGTGCCTGTGCCTGTGGCAGCAACCTGTGGCGCAAGACGAGTGCAGAGAAGCGCGAGCAGGAGCGGCTGGAGTTCCCCATCCTGAATGACCTTCGCCAGGCCGCGGAGGTGCACCGCCAAGTGAGGGGAAGACTGGGGGAAACATGGGGCTGACGATGGGGGGAAGATTGGGGGAAACATGGGGCAACAGATGGGGGGAAGATTGGGGGAAACATGGGGCAAAAGATGGGGGGAAGAGGGAGGGCTCGGGGTTGAAGGTGCAGGAGCGGGTGGAGTTCCCCATCCTCAACGCCCCGCCAGGCCTCAGAGATGCACCGGCCGGTGAGGATGGAGGGGGACAGTGGGGAGGGAAGAGGGCGGGCTTAGGGTTTAGAGAGCAGGAACGGCTTGAATTTCCCGTCCTCAACGACCGACCTCCGCCAGGCTAAGAGCTGCACCGGCCGGTGAGGATGGAGGGGGACAGTGGGGAGGGAAGAGGGCGGGCTTAGGGTTTAGAGAGCAGGAACAGCTTGAATTCCCCATCCTGAACGACCTCCGCCAGGCTGCGGAGGTGCACTGGCAGGTGAGGATTGAGAGGCGCAGTGGACGGGGAACGATGGGGGGCGAAGAGAGCTTAGGGTGTGGAGAGAGCAGGAGCGGGTGGAGTTCCCCATTCTCAGCAACCTCCGCCAGGCCACCCAAGTGCACCGGCAGGTGAGGATTGGGGGGGGGGGGGGGGGGGGGGGGGGAAGAGATGGGAAAGAGGTGCGCAAGCCCGGATTGCTCATAGCAGATGACCTTTGTGGGTCACCCAGAGCATTCACGCCCACTCCCCGCTCCTGTCTCTCCCTTCACCCCTGCTGTGCATGTGTGCATGTGTGCATGTGTGCATGTGTGCATGTGTGCATGTGTGCATGTGTGCATGTGTGCATGTGTGCATGTGTGCATGTGCATGCCCAGGTGCGCAAGTGCATGCGGCAGGTCACCAACCAGACCAGGCATGCTAATGGCGAACCTGTGTGTGTGTGGGACCCTCACAGCATCTAAACCCGCTCCTCCCCTTCTCCCCGCTCTTGCCTCACTCCCCCCGCGCCCGCACCGACCAGGTGCGCAAGTACATGAGGAGGGTGATCAAGCCGGGCATGCTCATGACGGACCTCTGTGAGACGCTGGAGGACACGGTGAGGCGCCTCATTGCTGCCAATGGGCTGCAGGCAGGCATTGCCTTCCCCACCGGCTGCTCCCTCAACTGGTGTGCACACCTCCTCTCCATCTACCTCTCCCTCTCCCTCTCCCTCTCCCTCTCCCTCTCCTTCTGCTCTCTCTCTCTCTGCCCTGGTTAACTGCGCCCTTGGTCTGCTGTGCACGTGCCTGCCAGGCTGCACTCGGTTGCGTGTTGGTTGCATGCAAGTGGGTTTCTCCATGCTCATTCCTTCCTCTGCCCTGCCTGGACCTCACATTTTGTGCCATGCTGCATGTGCATGCATGCGTGTGTGCATGTGTTGCGTGTGTTTGCATTTGTGCATGCACACATGCATGCATGTGTGAATGTGCATGTCCATGTGCATGTGCGCATGTGCATCCCCATCCATGCCAGGGTGGCGGCGCACTGGACGCCCAATGCAGGCGACAAGACAGTGCTGCAGTATGATGACGTCATGAAGCTCGACTTTGGCACGCACATCAATGGTAAGCTCTTGAATCCGCAGCACGCCTCTTTTTGTTGCAGAGAACAAAACAAACAAACAAAGACAAATGGAAAAAAAAACTCCCTCCTCTCCCTCATCTCCCTCCCCCATTCTCTTCAGGCCGCATAGTGGACTGCGCCTTCACAGTGGCATTCAACCCGCAGTACGATCAACTGCTGGCAGCAGTCAAGGACGCCACCAACACGGGCGTGCGCGAGTGCGGCATCGATGTGCGCCTGTGTGACGTGGGGTGTGCCATTCAGGAGGTGATGGAGTCGTACGAGGTCACCATCAACGGCAAGACCTTCCCTGGTGAGCTCAACAAAGGGTATGGCGTGTGTTGTCTGCAGGGTGATTTTTCAAGGGACCAGTTGGTGGTCTGTGTGACGATTTTTGAGACGTCTCAAAAGTGTCTGGAGGGTAATTTTTCAAGGGACCAGTAGGTGGTCTCTGTGACGTGGGGTGTGCCATTCAGGAGGTGATGGAGTCGTATGGAGTCACCATAAATGGGAATACCTTCCCTGGTGAGGCACTCGCTTGTATGCAGCCGTGCTGCCTCCTGCTTGTGTCGCCTGCAGGGTGTCTCTTGAAGGCATCCCTTGGAAGGGTGGGCAGCCGGGCTCTGCTGGGCGACGTGGGGTGTGGGGTGTGGGGTGTGGCATTGAGGAGGTGATGGAGTCGTGTGAAGTCACCATTAATGGGAAGTCCTTCCCGGGTGAGCTCAGCCACGCCCGTGTCCTTCCCTGGCTTGCAGCAGCGCTCTCTTCTCCTGCTTCTGTTGTCTGTCTGTACAGTGTCGCTTGAATGCACCCGTTGATAGGCTCTGCTGTGCAACGTGGGGTGCAATCAGTCAAGAGACACTCCTGGGTGAGCCATTCAGGAGGTCGTGGAGTCATGTGGAAGGCCACCCCCAGTCTGTGCCTCATGATGCATGTGGGCATGAGGCACACTGTGCTCGCTCTTCCATTCCTCCATACCCCTCTCCCCCCTCCTCACGTCTCACCCACTCCCTAGTTCCCCCTCACTGCCCCCTTCCAACAACCCCCCCCCCCTCTCTGCCCCGTCCCCCCTCCCTCTGCTCTTCCCCCTCATTCCTGCAGTGAAAGCAATCCGCAATCTGAACGGGCACAGCACAGGGCCCTATCAGATCCACGCGGGCAAGAGCGTGCCGATCATGAAGGGCGGCGAGGCGACGCGCATGGAGGAGGGCGAGCTGTTTGCCATCGAGACGTTTGGACATGCGGGCAAGAGCATGTCAATTGTTGAGACGTCTCAAAGCTCCCTCCTCCCCCTCCTCCCCCTCCTCCCCCTCCTCCCCCTCCTCCCCCTCCTCCCCCTCCTCCCCCTCCTCCCCCTCCTCCCCCTCCTCCCCCTCCTCCCCCTCCTCCCACCACTCTCTGCACCTCCCCACCCCCCTCTTCCCCCCCTCATTCCTGCAGTGAAAGCAATCCGTAACCTGAACGGGCACAGCATAGGGCCCTATCAGATCCACGCGGGGAAGAGCGTGCCGATCGTGAAGGGCGGCGAGGCGACGCGCATGGAGGAGGGGGAGCTGTTTGCCATCGAGACGTTTGGGTCCACTGGCAAGGGCTACGTGCGCGAGGACCTCGAGTGCTCGCACTACATGAAGGTGGGGCATGGCGCATGGTGCACTGGCATTCCTTGCCTGTTGAATGGGCGGCATTGGTGTTGCCGCACATGCTATCGTCTTGTTTGTGTTGCTAATTTATTTCTCTCACTCGATGAAATTGTTGCATTTCGTTCTTCCGCTGCTCGTTTCTGCCACGTACACTTTGGTTTACTTTCTCGCCTTCATGAATCCTGTGTGTGTCCCATCCCATGCTTCCATGTCTCCATATGGCCTCGTGTGCTGGCACGAATGTGATCGGCAGAACTTTGACGTGGGGCACGTCCCTCTAAGGTGAATGCTACCTAACAGACCAACCAACCATCTCACCTTTCATTCCTCTATCCTTCCTTCGATCCATCCATCTATCCATCCGTCCATCCGTCCGTCCGTCCGTTCGTCCATCCATCCTTCCTTCCTGATCCTTTTTCTTTTTCGTTGCATCAATCCTTCCGCTCTACACGTTGCATCCATCCATTCCCACGAGCTTGAGCAACCTTGGAATGTTGAGAAAGTTGGCGTTAAGCAAGCTCCCCCGACTAGCAGAAATAACAAGATTTCTGCCCGTTACCTCGAGGTTCTTTCCCTAGGAAGCTTTTGGCGGTTCACTCCTCTGCTAGAAATTAATGCACTGCCAAGGTTGAGGGAATTGAACTTAGTCAGTGCTGGGCATGCGTGGTCTGGCCGTTGGCATGACTTTGCCTGGTCTCAAGCATTTGCAGCTTGATAAACTAAGGAGCCATCAAACCAACCCCTTACGGAAGCTACTAAATGTGACTGACTCATTTGATTATCAAGCTGCAAAGGTTAGGGAAGGATCCCAAAAACAATAATAACTCTTCTACCTCCACGACCAGCCATAGCTTCAAGTGTTTCAGTCCAGGCAGAGTCATGACAACGGCCAAACCATGCATGAGCCCTACACTAGCTAAGCTCAATTCCCTCAGCCTTGACAGTGCATTGATTTCCAGTAGTAGACTGAGTCACCGGAAGCTTCTCAGGAAGAGAATATTGAGGAAACGGGGCAGCGATCTTGCTACTTGTGCTAGCTGGGGGAGCTTGCTTAGCACCAACTCTCTCAACCTTCCAAGGTTGATTGTCCCTGTTTTACTCTACTGTTAAGAATTTGGGTTTTGAGATCGTTTTGAGCACTTAGTTTTACATAGAGTGGATTTTACTGTTGTTCTTTTGCTTAAGCCTACTACACGCGTGCTGCTCATTGAGAAACGACTGAACATTGCATCCATCCTTCCGCTCTACACGTTGCATCCATCCTTCCGCTCTACACGTTGCATCCATCCGTCTCCGCCCCTCCTCAAAGTGCCTCGCTTTCCACCTTTCTGTCTTCGTATTCTCTTCTCTACTACGCTTACCACTTGAACAGCTATCAGCCCCTTAAAACTTCATCCCCCCCTGTTTCCCCTTCACCCCACTCCTCTGCATCTTCCCCCTTTCCGCCTCCCCTCTTCCTCGCCCCCCTTCCCCACCCCCTTCCCCGCTCCCTTCATTGCCTCCTGCCCCCCAGGCTACCACGTGCCAAGCAGCTATTGGCCACAATAGATCGCAACTTTGGCACACTGGCGTTCTGCCGGCGCTATCTGGACCGTCTGGGCGAGACCAAGTACCTCATGGCGCTCAAGAACCTCTGCGATGCAGGAGTGGTGCAGGTGGGTGCATGTGGGTGCAGGTGGGTGCATATGGATGCAGGTGGGTGCCTGCCTGTGGTAGTCGGGTGGATCGCGGTGCAGATGGGTGGGTGCATGTACCCTGGTCGGGCTGGGCGAGACCAAGTACCTCATGGCGCTCAAAAACCTCTGCGATGCCGGAGTGGTGCAGGTGGGTGCACATGGGTGCAGGTGGGTGCCTGCCTGCAGTAGTCAGGTGCAGTGCGGTTCAGGTGGTTGGGTGCACCTACCGTTGTTGGGCTGGGTGTGACCAAGTACCTTATGGCGCTCAAGAACCTCTGTGATGCCGTGGTGGTGTAGCTGGGTGTATGTTTTATTCAGATGGGTGCAGTGTGGTGCAGGTGGGTGCATGTACCCTGGTTGAGCTGGGCGAGACCTCATGGCGCTCAAGAACCTCTGCAACACAGGCGTGGTGCAGGTGGGTGGTTGCCTGCAGCAGCCAGGTGCAGTGCGGTGCAGGTGGGTGCACATAGGTACACATGAGTGCGGTAACCTCGTGCAGATGGTGTGCCGCGGTTGCAGGTGAGGATGGGTATGAACGCGGTTCAGAGATGGAGGGATGGTGCCTCGTTTTCTTCTTTCCTTGCTCTGACCCCGTCCCACCTGTCCCTCCTCCCACACGCCCCAACCCCACCGGTGCAGCCGCACCCGCCGTTGTGAGACCAAGGGAAGCTACGTGGCTCAGTTTGCCTTGCATTGTTCTTTCCCCCCGTCTCAATCCTCCCCCATCCCACTAAAACCCACACCCCATCCACCTCCCCTCCGTCCTCCACCCGTGCAGCCGCACCCGCCGTTGTGAGACCAAGGGCAGCTACGTGGCACAGTTGTCCATGCCTTGCTCTTACCCTTTGTCTCAATCCTCCGCCATCCCACCAAACCCCACAACCCACTCCCTCCACCTGTGCAGCCGCACCTGCCGTTGTGAGACCAAGGGCAGCTACGTGGCTCTGCTTGTCGTGCCTTGCTCTCACCCCTTGTCTCACCCCTTGTCTCACCCCTTGTCTCACCCCTTGTCTCACCCCTTGTCTCACCCATCCCCCACCCCCCCCTCCCCCGCCTGTACAGCCGCATCCGCCGTTGTGCGAGACCAAGGGCAGCTACGTGGCTCAGTTTGAGCACACACTCATCCTGCGCCCCACGTGCAAGGAGGTGCTCTCACGGGGGGATGATGACTTTTAGGCAACAGAATGAGTGGAGCTTGAGGCGTGTAGTTGGCACGTGGGCTTGCTGTAGCGCGAGTCGTCTCGTCTCTCTCCAAGGGCACCTAGTGTGAGCACACACACACACGCTCATCCTCCGCCCCACGTCCAAGGAGATGCTGTCAAGTGGGGAATACGTTAGGGCCTTGCACGTCAACTTGCTGCCACGCAGACCTTTAGGCGTGCAGTAGGCTTGTGCTGTGATGGGCATGCTGTAGGCCGTGTTGTCTTGTCTCTCTAGGGGACGATTGTCGGGCAGAGGGAGACTTGTTGCCTGTTACACTTGAGGCAGTTTTGAGTCGAGTTGGGTGAGTGAGTAGGTAATGGTAGTGAAGGCATATGCTGCTCTCATTTTGTGGTGGAGGGTTCAGTTGAACCTCTGTGCATGCAACTCCTGTTGCCATTGACAACAGATTGCTGTTGGGATTTCACAATCTTGAGTACTATTGATTGGCTGGACAGCATAGGGATGACAAAAGACTGATTCAGAGCTGCTCCCTGCTTACCTGCCCTCAAGCTTTGTACGTGAACTGCATAGCCAAAAAATCAATCTCTAACGCGGTTGCAAGGTGGCATCACCAAGAGAACCGCTCATATTCTAAGTGGAATTAACACAACTACGGACCATAGCGTCAGTGAAACTTCCAGTAACTCTAGGTGGAACCTACCGTATCACAAGCACAACAGTCTAATCTCTTAACAGTATCGCTCTCATCGCTCTCAAGGATGACAAGACTGACTGATCCAGAGGACTCCCTGCATGCCTGCCCTAACGCTTTGTGCACTCCGGCACAGTTGACGAGAGGGCTAGCCAAACAGCTTTTATTCAGCACAAGTACCGGTGGTACCGTAGCATCTCACTCAAACTCACGGTACCTATCACAAGCAAAACAGTCTAAGCTGTAACTCTACTCCCTGGGCTGCACCGCATCCACGCCATGGATGATAAACAGCTTCCCTCTAAAAATCGCCTGTTCCTTGATCTTTGCCTTGCCCTTCCCGATTGTCACCTTCTTCCGCCCACTCTTGCTGTCGACTACCTCAGCCGTATCCACTCTGCGACCATTCGCGTTCTTCAGTCCTTTGGCGGTCTTCAGATCGTCCTCCTCATACACTCCGTCCAGGATGTTTGCGCGAATCCAATTCCCGTACGGGGTAACGTCGCTGCGCTTGAACTTGGATTTCGTGAACGTGGTAACCGCGTCAGGCGCTGCAGAAGCAATGGCGGTATCGTCGGGTAGGAGGACGGTTTTTCCTTCGGTGTTGGCAAGGTACGTGTCCGTTGGGTTCCAGTCGGTCTCTGCATCGCGAAAAAATGAGAAAAAAAAGGTGGTGTGGATAAAACGATTGCACGAAACGTGAGGTATAACGGAGACAGCACCATCCTTTTGACAAGAATGGGAGAGGAAAAAAGTAACAACTATATTAGTAATCATAATAAAAAAGAGAGCACATGACATGCAGCTGCGTGCAATTAGTACCAGAATTTACCCATAATCGGGTCATGAAGGACATGCACTGAACGCAAGTAGAATGGATTACCCAGAATCGGGACGAGTTGGTCCAGAAATGCGCCGCTGCTCTTGTATTTTCCGTTCAGTTTGGGGTCGTTGAGCGCTTCCCGGGCCGCCTTCACCTCGTTGATCAAATCTTCCTTGGTGGGCCGCGCGGCAGCCGACGCCAGCAGCCATGTGAGCGTGCAGACGGCGGCGAGAACCGAAAGCTGCCTCGACGGACCCATGGCGCGTGCGCAGAGATGATGGGGATGAGTGACTGTGACCATTCTAGTAGAAGAACGCAGGAGCAGGAGAGGATGAGACCACGGCGTACTTCCAGCTTACGAAGGACGTCAGGCAGAGCTTATAGGTGCGCTGAGCCGGAAATATGATTCACTCCATGTAGCTGCAGCAATGTAAAGTAGGAGCAGCTCCTTCAGCGATAAATATGATTGCTAGGAGCACGCGCCTCGCTGCGAAACGTCAGAAATCTCTGGGGACGCGTCACATCGTGTGACGTGACGCAGTCAGGTTCGGCTCTGCGAAGGACGTTTCTTTTGCGGGGTTGCAAGAGGTTCTGAAGGATTCAAAAATAATATGCGTGATAACAGTTTGGTGGCGGTTCCCATGTCAATTTATCACGTCACACGTCCCCTGACGGTTGTCGAAGCGCGAGTAGAAAGTGCAACAATCGTTGGGAGTGAAGTTGACGACATAGACACAACTCGTTAACTATCAACAAGCAAGCAAACCTACCTGTAAATATGTTTGTTTGCATATTTTTTGGCTATATAAAAAAGGAGAACATCCATTGGCTATATAAACCGTTATTATCGGGTCATTCATTGACGGAAGCCACATGCTCGTGGCGCGCTTCACTTTCTCGTCATAAGCCTGGCTCATCTCGGGCAGATTCGTTCCATAGCGCCCCGCGGCGCTCAAGAGTTATCAGCGATTTCCTCACAGGAAATTGTCTCTCGTGATTTTACGTACCGAATGTTATACTGTGCACGTAGCCCAGGGCCGGTTGATTGTGAGGCAAACTCGCGCATTCGTGCTCGACAGTGGCGTGTGCCGATAAGCGCGCGGGAGCGATTGTAAGGCAAACTCTTCGCGCGTTCGTGAGCTCAGGAGCTCGACGCGCACCGGAGCTCAGGGCACACGCGAGCTCAGGGCACACGCGAGCTCAGGGCACAAGAGAGCTCGGCGCGCAAGAGAGGTCGGCGCGCGGAATGGGGGGAAAGCAGCGGGGCGGCAAGGGGACGACGGGCGGAGGAGAATCCGCTGCAGCAGCGGCGTCGTCGCATGGGGGGAGGAGGGGAGAGAAGGCGCGGATGGCGGACGGGGCCGGGGAGAAAGGGCGCGGTGGGGGAGGGGCAGGGGAGAAGGGTCGTGGTGGGGGAAACGCAGAGGAGAAGGGTCGAGGGTTGGAAGGAGCGGGGGGAACGGGCCGGGCGGCAAAGTTGGCGGAGGTGGCGGTGTCGCTGGGGGTGACGGGGCACACGGGGCACCTCGAGATCATCGCTGTGGACCGCCACCGCTTCCCCCTCCACCCCCGCCTCGCCCCCCCGCCCTTCCTGCTCGTGCGCTCCTAACTCTTCCACTCCCCCTTCCTCTCCCCCTTTTGTTCCCCCTTCCTTCCACCCACCCCACCTGGCCCCCCAAGTCCTGCATGCTTGTGCGCCCTTCCCCCTTTTCGCTCCCCCACTGCTCCCCCCACTACTCTCATGCCGTCGTGCCGTCAGCTCTCCTGCACAGGCACGAGAGCAAGACGGTGCGGAAGGGACGCTGCTCCCCCCACTGCTCTCCTGCTGTGCAGCGTCCCTTCCTGCGTCACCTCTCGCCTGCACCATAGCTCTCTTCACTCCACATCCCTCCACCACTCTGCCCTATCCCGTCAACATTCACAGTTAGGCGTTTCATTTCTCAGACACATGTTGCTTCATTCACTGCCTCGCCTCCCCCATACAGAGCAAGAGCAGCCGGTTCATTCCTCTTCTCCGCCCTCATTCCACCTTCCTCTCCAAACCTCTCTCCCAAACTTCTCTCCCAAACCTCTCTCCCAACCTCCCAATATCCTTCCCCAAACTTCTGTTACGCCCAACCTCTCCCTGCAGCCCAAGCCTCCTTTCCCGGAGCCTCTGGACGTTCGGGATCTACCGGAGCTGTGCCCTCTGGCCGTGTGGGATGACGTGGAGCGCCAGCTGGCGTGCGAGCCGCAGGAAGACGCCATGTGGCAGTACGACTGGATGCCACGTGGCGACCTGTCAGCCGTGACACCCGGCGGGCTGAGCAGTGTGCTGCAGCCAGCGTGGCACCCTCCCTGGGTGGAGGAGTGGGGGGACGGGGCGTGGGGGGAGGGAGAGGGAGAGGGGGAGGGGGAGGGGGAGGGAATAGGGGAAGGGGAGGGCGAGGGTGCGGAGGAGGGAGGGGCGGTGAGGCCACCAGAGCAGGTGGACGAGGTGAGCTGCTGCCTGCCTGCCTGCCGCCCATATTCGTCCGCTCCTTGGCCCCCGTTTGCCTCTCTAGGCGCCCATAGTGACCTCACCCATTCCTCGCCCATTTTGACCTCCTTTACCTTGGCACTTCCATCTTTGTCGCACGCCCCTCGGTTCGCACACCTCTCCTCTTGCTTCTTCCTCGGTTCCCCTTCACCTTCTTACTGATAACTGAATATATCGTTCTTACCGTTATGTTCCGTGACACCTTCCCCGCATGTATCTGGATCTCACCCTCCCCACTTAAACCTTTCTCTCCCCCCTTCTCCTTCCCCATTCCTCCCCCTCGTCCAGCTGTTCTTCCCCCCGAGCGCGTATCTCAATCTCAACCGTCCGCCCCAGAGCTCGTCCACGGCACCACTGCTGCTCAACCCCTCACCCGCCCCATTCAAGCCCTTCCCTCCGTCTTTACTCTCCCTCCACAGCTGTTCTTCCCTCCGGGCACGTATCTCGACCTCACCCGTCCGCCTCCCTCTGCTCTGGAGCTCGTCCGCGGCACCACTGCTGGTGCCGCCCACCCCCTCGCCCTCTCCTCCCACCCGGCCCCACACGCTGCCACTGCTGCTGCCGGTGATGGTGCAGGGGGGTTGCAACATGGGGAGGGGCAGGCGAGTGGGGGAAGAGGCGAGTCAGAGGAGGCTTTAACGGCACTGTTTGCTTATTTGGAGGGAGGGGCGGGAAAGGGAGGGGCAGGCCGCGGAGAGGCGAAGGGTGTTGGGGATGCATCGTTGCTGCTGAGTGTGCCTCCTGGTTTCACTGAGGGCGGACGGTTCGAGGCCAGGGAGGAGGTGAGTGAGACATGGGTGGGTCACGGGTGGGTGGTGGGGTGGGAAGGGAGCTCTGTCTCTTGGGGCGCGCATGTGGCTTTCATGGCATGGCGCATGTCAAGGACGGATTGCAGCGGGTTGACTTTTGAGTCGACTCAAAAGTCAACCCTTGGGGCGCGCATGCGGTTTTCAAGGCATGCCTCATGTGAACGAGGGGATCGCGGTGGGTTGCGCAAGCTCTGCTCCTCCCACCCGCCCGCTCTGCTATCAACCCTACCTGCTCATTGAAACGCAGCTCCTCTCTCTCCTCCTGCCCTTGTGCCGACACATGCAAGCCCAGACACCCTGTGTCTCCCCATGGTTGGTTGGACGCGCTATTTATTAGGCGTCTATTTTAAGGCGTCTATTTTAAGGCGCCTATTTCAAGGCGTCTATTTTTTAGGCGCTTAAAGAAAGCACATGCGAGACCAGACACTCCCTGGGGGAGTGTCCCCATGGTTTGATGGGCTTCAAGAACCGTCCCTTGAGAAACACCCTTTGTGCAATGCAAATACACACAGACACTCCGAAGCTCCACATGTTCCCGAGAATTCTCCAACGCGAATTCAGTGTGCGCCCTCTCCAATTCACCCACCCTCCTCACCGTCCCCATCCCACCCAACCCCAGAGGGACATGCAGCCTCTCTCTCTGCTGTGCGCGCTGACATGCCCCCCAAACAAGCACGGAGCGAGACAGCAGCTTGCCGTCTCCCTCCGCCACTCTGAACGGATCCCGTGTGTGCTGTCTTTCCAACCCACCCACCCACCACCCCACCCGTCCCCATCCCACCCATCCCCAGAGGGACATGCTGCCGCTCTCTCTGCTGTGCGCGCTGACAACCCCCTCCAAGGAGGTATCAGAGGTGCTTCCCAAGGACGTGCAGAGTGCGGGCACTGGAGGGGCAGTAGGGAGCGGCGCTGCTGGTGTTGAGGGGGGAGAAGTGGGAGAGGGGGAGGCGGAAGGAGAAGCTGGGGGTGCGCAGGGGGGAGGAGAGGGGGAGAGCGGGAAGCTTGGGTTTGCAGATGTGTTTCAAACGGCATGGGGTGCTGGGGGGGATGAAGAGGAGGGGGAGGAGGAGGAAGAAGAGGAGGAAGAGGAGGAGGCGGGAGAGGAAGAAGTGGACGGGGAGGAAGGGAAGGAGGTGGTGGGAGGAATGGGTTCAGCACAGATGGTTGCCTCTACAGGTATGTGATAGCAACAGGGCACATGGGACACAGGAGGGCAGAGAGGGCAGAGAGGGCAGAGAGCACACACATTCATCCATGGGGTGTTTGACTGCTCTGCACGGATGTGCCCTGCATGCATTTAAGTCTAATTTTTTACATGTGCCATGCCTTGCATTCAAGCCTTTAGTCCTTTGCTGTTGTCTTGTGCAGCCCTCCATTGCTCCATCTGATGCCATCGCGATTCCCTGCCCTCCCCTTTTCGTCCCTCCCTCCCACGCACCGCTCACAGCCACCGCACGGCCGTCACCACAGGGCAAGCGCAGTGAGAGGAAGAGCGGGGCAGCAGCAGCGGTGGATGCGCTGCTGGGGGCGGGCAGAGGAGCGTTTGGCAGCCTCGAGTGGTGGACTGCTGGCTCTGGCCTGGGCCTGCTGGGTGCTGCTCCTTCTGCCTCCCGCCCTGCTGCGTCCAAAGAGGTAGTTCTGGAGTCGACTCGAGCCTGGACTTGATGGAGGGCCGTTTTCTGGTCGTCGCAAAAGTAACTCCCTTTTGTAGTCGCAACCAAGAAACGCTGTTGGGAGTTGGCGGAGGGATGAACAGTACAGCAGCCTCGAGTGAGTGGTGCACTGCCCGTTATGGAATGCATTCCCTCCTTTCCTGCGATTCCTTGCGTGCCTAATGGCCGATGCTGCATGCTCCACGCCTCTGCCACTTGCCGCACGAACCATGCATGTGGGCAGTGACAGACGGCATAATGTTATGTTACCTCCTCCTTCCCTTCTCCACATTCTTACCTTGCATCCCCTCAGGGCCATGCGTGGGCATGGGCAGTGACAGACGGCATAATGTTATGTTACCTCCTCCTTCCCTTCTCCACATTCTTACCTTGCATCCCCTCAGGGCCATGCGTGGGCATGGGCAGTGACAGACGGCATAATGTTATGTTACCTCCTCCTTCCCTTCTCCACATTCTTACCTTGCATCCCCTCAGGGCCATGCGTGGGCATGGGCAGTGACAGACGGCATACCAGATCTGGACCGCGAGTTCGCCACCATCCAGCCCGACATGGCCATGACCTTCCCCTTCCAGCTGGACACCTTTCAGAAGGAGGTGAGGCATAGCAAGCACACCATGCAGGTGCCATAGATTGATCCTTGTACAGACCAGCATAGTGAGCACCGCTTGAGTGAACCGGCCTCTCTGCAACCTCTGAGTGGTTTCTTCTTCCCTATGGATAACCAAGTTGTTGTGTGACCAAGGCCTGAAGATCCAGTCTCGCTTGCCTTTTTCTGTGCGCTCTCCCTCTCAGGTTTCTGTCGCTTTTCCGCTTGCATCTGCTCTGCTCCCTCTCTCGCCCCCTCGCCACCGCCCACCCCCAACTCCACTCTCAGGCCATAATCCATCTGGAGCGCCATGAGTCGGTCTTTGTGTCTCCTTGTGCCCCTCCGCCTCTCACCTCTCCGCCTCTCACCTCTCCGCCTCTCACCTCTCCGCCTCTCACCTCTCCGCCTCTCACCTCTCCGCCTCCAACTCCTGGGGCACTCGTGCCATCCATCCCACCCGTTTCCACCAGGCCATAATCCATCTGGAGCGACATGAGTCGGTCTTCGTGGCGGCACACACCTCAGCGGGCAAGACTGTCGTGGCTGAATACGCGTTTGCCCTCGCCGCCAAGGTGCGTGCGCTGCTGCACCCTGCACCTGCTTGCCGCCCGCCAGCGTGCTGTCCTGCTCTTGCTTGGTGCCCTCGTAGGCACGCCTCTTGTGGCTTTCAGTTGTGAATGAGTCGTACCATGCTGCTCCTTGCTTGGATCTCACATTCCTTCACTCGTCCACTCCCTTGATCGCCATCAACTATCAGACGCTCCTTACGATAGTCCAATCTCCTTCTTCCTCCCTACCTCCCTCCCCTCGTCCCCCTAGCCGCAGCACTGCACGCGGGCAGTGTACACGTCACGTCAAAAATCAAGGGCATCAGCGATCAGAAGTTCCCCCTCACCCTTTTCCCCTCACCCTTTTCCCCTCACCCTTTTCCCCTCACCCTTTTCCCCTCACCCTTTTCCCCTCACCCTTTTCCCCTCACCCTTTCCCCCAACCCTCTCCCCTCCCCCCCCGTCCCTTCCCCCCACTGACAGCACTGCACGAGGGCAGTGTACACGTCGCCCATCAAGGCCATCAGTAATCAGAAGTTTCGTGACTTCAGCAAGCGATTCGACGTGGGGCTGCTCACGGGGGACCTCAGTGTGCGCCCCGAGGCCGCGTGCCTCATCATGACCACTGAGATCCTCCGCTCCATGCTGTACCGCGCCGCTGACATCATCAAGGATATTGAATGGGTGCGTGCTGTGGTATGGTGGTGTTTGTGTGATTGCTATGGTGCATGCTGCGTTCGCATGAGACAGCTTGTCTCATCATGACCACTGAGAGATCCTGAGGTCCATGCTGTGCTGCACTGCTGACATCATTATAGATATTGAATTGAATGGGTGCGTGCTCATGTGTCATGTGTGATCTTCTCTGTCAACGCTCTTATCCACTGCAAGTGGTGGAGAAGGGCCGTCCACTGCTTGTTTCGCGTGTGCAAGTGGTGTTTGACGACAGCGCGCGATGTAGCCCTTGTGTGCTCTGTGCCCCAATCGCTCTGAACACCGCAGCAGGTCACGTTTGATGAGGTGCACTATGTGAAGTGAACGACATGGAGCCATGCACCTCTCTCTTGTGTTGTGTTCCTCGTGCCTCAACCGCCCTCAACCGCTCGTTCTTTACCGTTCTTAACACCGCAGGTGGTGTTTGACGAGGTGCACTATGTGAACGACATGGAGCGCGGGGTGGTGTGGGAGGAGGTGATCATCATGCTGCCGCCCCACGTGGGACTTATCATGCTCTCCGCCACTGTGAGTTGATCTTACAACAAGTATCATATGCACCATGCACCATGCACCATACACCATGCACCATATGCACCATGCACCATGCTGCCCTCCCACGTGGTGCTCATCATGCTCTCAGCCACTGTGAGTTGGGTTTGCATGCGCCATGCACCCCCACGTGCGCCTCAACATGCATGCTCCATGCGCGCCGGGTGGTGTGGGAGGAGGTGATCATCATGCTGCCGCCCCACGTGGGCCTCATCATGCTCTCAGCCACTGTGAGTTGCCCTTCCACGCCTTCATGCTATGTCGCTGTTCATAGATGAATGAACACATCCATCTTACATCACCATGTATGCATGATGATGTATGCATGATGATGTTGATGTATGCTCTCACGCAAGTACTCACTTGCAGCATGTGTGATGTGATGAGGCGTGCAGCATGTGTGATGTGGCATGCAGCATGTGTGACGTGGCATGCAGCATGTGTGGTGAGGCGTGCAGCATGTGTGACGTGGCATGCAGCATGTGTGGTGCATGTCACATCCGCGATGTGATGTGCCTCTTTACCTTCTTCCCCTCTACTCAGCCGACCCTCTACTCAGCCGACCCTCTACTCAGCCGACCCTCTACTCAGCCGACCCTCCTTGTCCTCCCTTCCCTTCATCTCGCTGTCCCTCTCCTCTTCCCCTTCTCCACTCTCATCTCCCACAGGTGCCCAACACCACTGAGTTTGCGGATTGGATTGGCAGAACCAAGAGGAAGAAGATATTCGTTACAGGGTGGGTGGCACAGGGTGGGTGGCATGGGATGAGTTTGCACCGCATCTTCCTACCTCTTTTAACCCCTTAGAACCCCTTTCAACCCCTTACCCCTTTCTCCTCTCCCCTCAGCACCACGCGGCGCCCAGTGCCTTTAGAGCACAAAATCTTCTACGGTGGTCGCCTGCACCGCACCTTTGCACCTTGACTCATAGTCGAAGGGCTGCAGTAATTGTAAAGACGCTTAAGCAAAGGAACAACAGTGAAAAAAACGAGTGTGAAAAACACAGATCTGAAAAACCCTTAGCTTCCGAACAGCCTCCTTGCGTAAACTAGTTTCGGCGGATGGGCGAACCCAATCACGCCTTCATTGGTACATCTTTGCACCGCGGGGACATCGACAGCCATGTGACCGTCCATCTGTGTCCACACGTTCTCCCCTTTCCGCCTTGCCTCCCCCCTCCAGCACCACGCGGCGACCAGTGCCTTTAGAGCACAACATCTACTACGGCGGTCGCCTGCACCGCATCTTTGACCGCGGGGACATCGACAGCGCTGCTCTGCGCGCCGTGCACGCCGCACACAAGGCCAAGCACGCCCCTCCCGCCCAGCAGGGTGCGGGAGCGGGGCGAGGAGGCGCGGGGAGAGGAGGAGGGGGAGCAGGCGGACAGGGGGGGCAGCAGCAGGGGAGAGGTGGGCAGGCGGGGCGAGGGGGGAGAGGAGGGGGCGGGGGAAGAGGCGGAGGGGGAGGGGGAGGAGGGGGAGGGAGAGGGCGGGGTGCGGGGATGGCGGCAGCAGGGAGGGCGATAGCAGCGGCGATGGGGGGGGGAGGGGGAGGGGATCGGTACCGGCGGTCGATGGCAACGGAGTGGATGCAGTTCATCAACCTGCTCAGCAAGCAGGAGCTTCTGCCTGTACCTTGCTCTCCCCTCCCCTCCCCTCCCCATCCCAATCCGATTTGAATGGTGTTGGTTTGTTCGTTTGTAGAAACAAACAACGTGCTGTGCTTCTCATGCTGTGCTTCTCATGCTGTGCTTCTCATGCTGTGCTTCTCATGCTGTGCTTCTCATGCTGTGCTTCTCATGCTGTGCTTCTCATGCTGTGCTTCTCATGCTGTGCTTCTCATGCTGTGCTTCTCATGCTGTGCTTCTCATGCTGTGCTTCTCATGCTGTGCTTCTCATGCTGTGCTTCTCATGCTGTGCTTCTCATGCTGTGCTTCTCATGCTGTGCTTCTCATGCTGTGCTTCTCATGCTGTGCTTCTCATGCTGTGCTTCTCATGCTGTGCTTCTCATGCTGTGCTTCTCATGCTGTGCTTCTCATGCTGTGCTTCTCATGCTGTGCTTCTCATGCTGTGCTTCTCATGCTGTGCTTCTCATGCTGTGCTTCTCATGCTGTGCTTCTCATGCTGTGCTTCTCATGCTGTGCTTCTCATGCTGTGCTTCTCCAAGCGCCGCTGTGACGAGTCACCGCCCTAACACACACGAACTCCCTCCACCCCTTCTCACCCACTGCCATCCCATCCGACACCCTCTGCCCCCCTCGTCCAGGTGGTCCCATCACTTCCATAGCGAGCAGTAGCTTTCTTCCACCCCTTCCCACCCTCTCCCACCACGTCCCACCCCGTGCCATGGCCAGGTGGTGGTGTTTTGTTTCTCTAAGCCCCGCTGTGACGAGTCTCTGCCGTAATGCACACAAACTCCCAACCACCCCTTCCCACCGTCTCCCACCCTTTCCCGCTTCCTCTGCCCCCTCGTGCAGGTTGTGGTGTTCTGTTTCTCCAAGCGCCGCTGTGACGAGTCAGCGGACAGCCTCACATCAATGGACCTCACGTCCAAGAGTGACAAGAGCGCCATCGTCATGTTCTGTAACTCTGCATTCGCTCGCCTCAAGGGCTCCGATAGGCACCTCCCGCAGGTGCGGTTGGGTTCAGTGCGGTTGGATGGGATGGGTGCACTGCGGTTGGGTGCGATAACACGTTCACCTCACATCAAAGAGTGACAAGAGCGCCATCGTCATGTTCTGTAACCCCGCATTGTCTCGCCTTAAGGGCAGTGACAGGCACCTGCCGCAGGTGAGATGGGTTTCGTGCGGTTGGTTGGTTTGGGTAGAAATGGTGCAGTGGTGTGGCTGTGCTGGGTGGGATGGGTGCAGTGTGGTTGTGCTGGGTGGGATGGGTGCAGTGCGGTTGAGTGAGACTGCAAGGGAACCTGACATCAAAGTGAGACAAGAGCGTCACCGTCATGTTCTGTAATTCCGCCTTCGCCCGGCTCAAAGACAAGACAATGGTAGGCACTTGCCGCAGGTGCGGTTCGGTGCAGTGCGGTTGGATGGGATTGCACGTGCACCTGACATACAGGTAAGACAAGAGCGTCATTGTATGTCCTGCAACTCTGCCTTCGCTCGCCTCAAAGGCAGTGACCGACAGGCACCTGCCGCAAGTGGGATTGCAGCTTGCTTGTGCAGCAGTCAGTCACAAGTACGCATTGTGAGTTCCCTGTGCAAAGCTAAAGATACTGGGCTCGTTTCTGCCAGCAGAGTGGCTATGGCGTTATGAGTTGCTGTTGTTATAACATGGTGGCTGGGCGGGCACATAGATTGGGGTAGGGACCCTGCTTCCTGGCAGGCACCCCATGCCATGCCTTGGGTGGGTGCTGCTGGTATTGCACATAAGAATGCACCTTTCATTACCACACACCACCCGTCTGACATGCATCGGACACACTCACTCGCCCTCCCCACCTGCCAACCTACCTGACACCCCACCTGACACTGTACCTAGCACGTAGAGCGCATATTAGAGCTGCTCACGTGCAGCAGCACCATCAGCTGTTGCGCTCTTGAGAGTTGACTCAAAAGTCACCAAACCACCCAATACCCCCACCTAACATCCCCACGTGGCACCCACCTCACAACCTACCTGGCAGGTGGAGCGCATATCGGAGCTGCTGCGAAGGGGCATCGGGGTGCACCATGCAGGGCTGCTGCCCATCGTGAAGGAGGTGGTTGAGATGCTCTTCTGCTCCGGACTCATTCGGGTAAGGCCCTATGGATGCATGCATGCATGTGATGTGCATGCATACACGAGCTAGGTAGCAAACATAGTAGAATGCAGCAGCAGGTGCTGCGCATCGTGAAGGAGGTGGTGGAGATGCTCTTCTGCTCTGGAATCATCCGAGTATGTGCTCATACATACACTAGGTAGCACACTTGCTTGTGGCAGTCAGTCGACATGAACAGCATCCGTGCATGGCCTGCAGTAGAGGACAGGACAGCAGCGGGCCGGGCTGTGATGGCCGCTGCCCATCAGGAAGGAGGTGGTGGAGATGATTTTGTGCTCGGGGCTCATCCGAGTAAGGCTGTAGTATTGGCTCATTGATTGAGTTGGTCCAGGAGAAGTGCGTTCATATTGAATCCCCACACTAGTGCATTACACCACCAACCAACCAAGTTCCGCCCTCTGCGCTGTGCCATGCCCCGCTCTGCTTTTCTCTTCTCTCCTCTCTGCCGTGTTGTGCCGTGTTGTGCCCACCCGACCTCAATCTTGGGCAGGTGCTTTTCTCCACCGAGACATTCGCCATGGGTGTCAATGCTCCTGCCCGCACTGTGAGTGCTCTCTGTTACACAAATTTGTCATGGAGGAGGAAGTGTTTCAATACCTTGTATTGGCTGGTTGGTTGTCATTTTTCATCTGAAATTCTTAAATTCAGACTTCTTTTTTGGGGCAGGCCACCTTATTTCTTCCAACGTTTCTTGATGGTTTGGTTTGGAGTACTTGAGTCTGTTCACCTCCTTTCTTTCATCAATTAATCACTTCTGCTCGTGTTTTACTGGAGAGTTGGTGAGGGATGATAGGCACTGGATGCAAAGCAGCAATCGATATACATTTTCCTGTCTATGCTGAAATTCTCAGCTAATAAATGGTCAGATGGATTGTTTTACCGCTGTTTCCTGCCCTTCTCATCTCAACCTCTCTTTCCTCATTTCCCCCACCTTGCACCCTTTCTCTCACTTGTCCTCTCCACACCCCTTCTTTGTGCTCTTTCTTCCATCAACTGGCCTTCCCCGCACTTAAGAAGCGCAACTAGGCGTTCAATTCAATCATGACCCTGGTTCGAGCCAGTTCGAAACGAACCAGTTCGAGTTCGGTTCTTGCTCAAGCTCTCATGCCCATGTGTCTGTCATGCTCTCATGCTCACTCCCGTCTTTCACTTCTCACCCCCTCAGCCCCGCCATCAGGTGGCCTTCCACGCACTCAAGAAACACATTTGCTCGCATGGCCTTCTATCTTTCATGCTCTCGTGCTGACTCCTGTCTCTCCCTTCGCTCTCCCCTCGTCCCCGCCATCAGGTGGCCTTTCACGCTCTTAAGAAGCACGACGGTCGCTCCTTCCGCATGCTGCTGCCGGGGGAATACACGCAGATGGCGGGCAGGGCGGGCAGGCGAGGGCTTGACAAGGTGAGGCAGGGATGTTGTGAGATAAGGCTGAAGAGCTGATAAGACAAAGACATGCGACTGGTAGGGCAAGGACGCATGAGTTGATGGTCTCTCATTCCGCACGCTGCTGCTGGGGGAATACATGCAGATGGGATTATCTGCTGGTGGGAGGGAGGGCGAGAAGGAGAGGCCACGTTTGTAACACTTCTTTGTCCGTTGTGCTGCACCGCACTGCATCCTTTCACCCTCCCTTTCCCTGGGCCCTCCCTCCGGCAGTTCGGCACGGTGATCATCTGCTGCTGGGAGGGCGAGGAGGTGCCAAGCGAGGTGGATTTGAGGCGCATGCTGACGGGCAAGGCCACCAAGCTGGAGTCACAGTTCCGCCTCTCCTACGCCATGATCCTCAACCTGCTACGCGTGGAGGACCTCACTGTGAGTGGGATAAGCAGAACACCCCCCACTGTATACTAACGGCTCCTCATCCCTCTCCTACGCCATGCTAGCAGCAGGAGGGTAAAAAGTGAACAGGATACGGGTGAACACACACACCCCCCACCCTCACCTCTCAGCTACCCCCTCTGCATGCCACTCCACCACCCTCCCCTCAGGTGGAGGACATGTTGAAGCGCAGCTTTGCAGAGGCACATGCACAGCGCCTACTACCGCAGCAGCAGAAGATGCTGCAGGCAGGCGAGCAGGCTCTTGTCCAGCTCGCCAACACACAGCCCATCAGGTGCGTGCCTGCCCGCTTCCCTGTGCTCTGTGCCCCTTGTGTTGACGTGGCGTACGAGGGTCTCAACCTTTCTCTCTGCTAACTTACCCCCGCTTATTCCTCCCTCCTTTCTCCTTCACCTATATGCCTCCCCCGTTCCCCTCCTCCCATTGCCCTCCTCCCATTTCTGTCCTCGCTCACATCCCCTATCCCTCAGCTGCATATGGCCAATCCCTCACGCATAGAGGACTACATCACGTGGCATATGGTGGTCTCAAACTTCCCTATACCCTGTTTCCTTGTTTCCTTGTTTCCTTCTCCTTTGTTGCCCTTCTCTCACACCCTTTTTCCCACAGCTGCATCCTGGGGGACCCCTCGCTCATAGATAACTACTATGACGTGGCAAGTGAGGCCCGTGAGCTGGATGCAGCCCTGCATGACGTGGTCATGCGGTCACGGCAGGCCTCTCAGCTGCTGACACCTGGCAGGGTCGTATTGGTGCAGCCGGCTCAGGTGGGTGGGTGGCTGTTCTGCGTGAATGTGAGAAGATAGGCGCATGGGTGGGGGAAGGCGGGAGGTGAGAGAGAGAGAGGGGGGAGTGCGAGAGCATGAGGAAAGGTTGGGGCTGAGGGAAAGAGTTGGGTGGAGTGCAGCAGCATGGGCGGCAGCAGCATGGGCGGCAGCAGCATGAGCGGCAGCAGCATGGGCGGCAGCAGCATGGGCGGCAGCAGCATGGGCGGCAGCAGCATGGGCGGCAGCAGCATGGGCGGCAGCAGCATGGGCAGCAGCAGCATGGGCGGCAGCAGCGTGCGGAAAACACGTGCACATGCACTCTCAGAACGATCCACGTATTGACGTTGTTGTGCATGTATTTACAACATGAGTGCATGTGCAGCAATATCTGCTCCTCCCACTTTTCCCTCCCCCACTTCCCTCTCCTTCTCACCCCCCCTCACTTCCCTCCCCCTTTTCCCTCCCTCCATCTTCCCTCCCTCTGGCCCTCCCCCTGCCCTCCCCTCCCCTCCTCTCCAACCCCTTTCAATGACTCAGACGGCGTCACCCCACGTGGCAGCGCTGCTCAAGGGCCCCTTCGGGCCCACCCTGGCGAAGCACATGGTTGGGCTGTTGAGAGTCAATTCCCCCTCTCCGCTTCCCTCTGCCCCCTCCCCTCTCCCATCCCCGCCTCTTCCCCCCCTCCTTCCCGCCCTCCCTCCCGTGCCTTAGACGGCATCACCCCACGTGGCAGCGCTGCTCAAGGGCCCGTTCGGCCCCACACCAGAGAAGCACTCCTTCCTCGTGCTCTCCCTGCCGCGCTCCCACCCCTCCACCACTGCGGGCGCAGAGGGACGAGGAGAGGGCGTTGGGAGTGGAGAGGAGGTGCGGGAGGAGGAAGGGAGGGAGGAGGAGACGAGGGTGGGGCGATCGTTCAACCAGGTGACAGTCCTTGGATCAGGTCCCAACGGGCCGATAGTCGTCAACATGCGGTTACCGCATCGCGGCACTGTAGCGGGCACGTGTTACACGGTGGAGCAGATCCCTGCCGCCCAGCTCGTGGGGGTGTGCCGAGCCAAGGTTGCTCTGGATGTGCCGAGCCTGCTGGAGGAGGTTCGGGTCCCGGCGTATGCTGCGGCGGTGCAGGCGCTGGTTCAGGTTCGGGAGGAGTGTGCTCCTGCCGATCCTCCCCTCATCGACCCCATCAAAGGTTCTCTCTTCTCTCTATCCTCCTGTCATCTCACCTCTTTATTGATTAGCCCAATTGCCCCTACACACAGGTTTTTTTATCGAGTTTTTCCATTTCCAATTAGTATTGCTTTTGACTAGTCCTCTCTGCTGTGTGCTTCCTGTTATTATGGATCCTATCCCAAGTTTGGTGATTTTGCCTGTCTTCCTTGCCACATCAGACCTCAAGATCGCTGACTCAGCAACCGCAGCCATGCACAAGCGCCAGCTGGCTCTGCGGGAGCTGCTGCCGCGCAGCCCGTGCCACGCGTGCCACCGATTGGACGAGCACTACGCTGCGGTCGCCTCCCGCCGTCAGCTGTCGCAGCAGGTATAGTCTGAATCCTGATTGTGCCAGCAATTCTACCAAGTGAAGTCTGTTTGTACTTGCTGTCAGTCACTGCAGATGAAACCATTTGTGACATCTGCCAAAGCTCTTTGAGTTTTTTTATGCCCAAATGTGGTGCAAATTGAGTACGTTTGTCCGTGGTAAAGCGTGGCCGCTACAGGCACTCAGGAGCAAGCCAGGCTCTCCAGCAACTGTGTCTAGCCTTTACCTCCTCCCATCTCTCCTCTTCCCACCTGTTTTTCCTCCTTTCCTCTCTTCCTCTCAACCACAGGTGGAGCAGCTCAAGGCGATGACGAGCGACCAGGCGCTGCAGCAGCTGCCAGATTTCCACCTGCGGGTGAGTGCAGGGGGAGTGAGTGCATTGGGTGTGCTCAGTACCGATCTGAAAAGTGCGCTGTGCGGTTTCAAAAGCGTGCATTACTGCACCACCACCTCTTCTCCTGAATCTTAACCTAATCTCATTTGCTTCCTCAACTCGGAATTCTAAGACTCATCCCTATAACCCGTGCTTTTTAATCTCTGAACCGGAAATCCTGAGGGGTGAAAGGAGCGCCCTGCTTCTCTCCCTAAACCCCGAAGTCCAAACTCCAACCCTAAACCTCTTCCTCTCCTCCACCAGGTGGAGGTGCTGCAAACTCTCGCCTTCATAGACGCGGAGTGCATAGTGCAGCTCAAGGGGTGGGTGGTGGTGGCTTGCCTCTCACCCTAAACCTCTCTCTTTTTTAACCCTGAAACCCTGATTTCAGGTGGAGGTGCTGCAAACTCTCGCCTTCATAGACGCGGAGTGCATAGTGCAGCTCAAGGGGTGGGTGGTGGTGGCTTGCCTCTCACCCTAAACCTCTCTCTTTTTCAACCCTGAAACCCTGATTTCAGGTGGAGGTGCTTCAAACTCTCGCCTTCATAGACTCAGATCGCATAGTGCAGCTCAAGGGGCGGGTGGCGTGTGAGATGAACAGCGCTGACGAGCTGCTCGCCACCGAATGTCTGCTACACCACCACCTCGCCGCCCTCTCGCCGCCCGCTGCCGTCGCGCTGCTCTCGGCGTTTGTCTTCCAGCAAAAGGACGCGTCGTCGCCCCAGCTCACTGCGGAGCTGGCCCATGCGAGGAACAAGTGAGAAAGATTGTGGGGGGCGCCGGGGCGGGGGTGAAGGGAAGGATGGGAGGAGGGGAGAGTGGGAGGGAGTACGCGTTATGCTCTGCTCTCGCCGCCCCAGCTCACTGCAGAGCTGGCCCATGCAAGGAACAAGTGAGACTGGGATGAGGGGTTGGGGGAAAGGTGTGCGTTTACTGGTCTTATTAAGCTAGCCCATGCGAGGAACAAGTGAGAAAGGGATGGGGGTGGGGGGAGGGGAGGGAATGGGAGGGGCTGCGTGTGCTGCGCTGCTCTCGGCGTTTGTCTTCCAGCAAAAGGACGCGTCGTCGCCCAGCTCACTGCGGGGCTGGCCCATGCGAGGAACAAGTGAGGCTGGGGTGTGGGGGTGTGGGGAAAGGGGGATAAGGTTGGATGAGGGAGGGGAGTTCAGGGGGGGGGTGTGTTGTCAACATGCCTGCTGTTCAGTTAACTCACTGCGTAATTGGCTCATACAAGGAACAAGTGAGGCTGGGATGAGGAGGGGTGGTGCGGTTTCTGGTCTTACTAGGCTGTCTCTGCGAGGAACAAGTGAGATGAGGGTGGGGGCAGGGAGGGGAGCAGGTGCGTGTTCTGCTCTTACTAATCTGGCTCTTGCAAGAAAGTGGGGGAACGAATGGGCTGGGATGTTGGAGTGGAGGGGGAAATAGGCTGGGATGAGGGCGGGCAGGTAGTGTGCCCCTGGCACTTGACTTGCCTCATGCCTGCCCCGCAGCCAATTCATATCACAACTGGCCTGCGCGAGGAACAAGTGAAGGGGGAGTGGGAGGGGGCTGGTTCTGGGCTGAGATGAGGGATGGAAGGGCTGTCTGTCTGTTCTGCTCCTGCTGAGCTGACTCTTTCGTATGAACAAACTCATGAGGAAAGGTAGGGGGTGGCACGGTGATGGGGGAAAGGTGCGGATGCATATATGTTCTAGATTGGGCAGAAGCAGAAGTGCATCTCCAGTTAGTTGTCTGACCTCCTGGCTCTGAATTATTTCAACACCCACCTCCTGGCCAGGGTATGGTGCAGGAGGCTGCAGTACAGGAAGCTGCAGTTACTGCTTTTGTCTTGCACTGTAACTTCCCATTCCCTCCCATTCCCATTCGCAACTGCTTTTGTCTTGTAACCGTGCTCCCTCCCCATCCCAGCCCACGTTTGAGGCGCCTCAAAAATTGCGGGTAATGAGACGACTTTTGAGGCGCCTCAAAAATGATGCAGGAGGCTGCAGTACAGGAAGCTGCAGTTACTGCTTTTGTCTTGTAACCGTGCTCCCTCCCCATCCCAGCCCAGGCCACTGCAACTCGCAAGTTTTTCCTGACGACCAGAGTCCCTTCAGTGTCCCCTCTTCCCCCCTCGCCGACCAATATCAAAATCTTCCTCCAATTTCGCACTACTTCCCAGAAACCGGCATAAACATCATCTGAACCGCGATCTCATGCCCCTGCGGAGCTGTTCTCCTGTTGTATCTCTGGCAATGCACGCCACACCACAATCTGTGTGCCTTGTCCTGCCTGCCGCTGCCCTCCCCTGCAGGCTGCTAGACCTGGCATACTTCCTCGGCGACCTACAGAGGCGAGTGGGGCTGCCCACATCAGCGGAGGAGTATGCAGCAGCCACACTCAACTTTGGGCTCATGGAGGTGGTCTATGAGTGGGCTCTGGTGGGTCTCATGCTCTCCCCTTTCTCTTTCTCTCACTCAATTACCTGTGGGAACTGGCTTGCCAGGATCATTTATCTTGGATTTTGCCAATGTGTTTCCTTGTCTGCCAGATTCGTTCAGCTCTGCTTCCAACATTGCTCGTCCTTTGTAAACATCTTCCCCTTGTGCCAGATAGCTCCTCAGATGTAATCATGTGGTGTAGCGAGGTTCATGATCAGTCAACCTACCGGTACCTACACTTCCTGTACCCCCCAACATGCTCTTGGTAGTCGTCTAATTACTAACCAGCAGAGCCGGGGGCATCATCCTTTACTCATAAGATGCTCATCTCTTTTGCTTTGTTGTCCCATCTGCGTTCCACAGGGCACACCCTTTGCTGACATCTGCCCGCTGACCAACGTGGCAGAGGGAACCATCGTGCGCACCATCCTTCGGCTCGATGAGACATGTCGTGAGTTTCGCAGTGCTGCCAGGCTGCTGGGGAATTCGGAGCTCATGGCGACCATGGAGGCGGGGTCTGCTGCCATCAAAAGAGACATAGTATTTGCTGCCTCGCTTTATGTCTCATGAGCTGATGACTCTCCGAATCTTATGACACACCTGACTTTTCTTTGTCTTTTCCTAATTGATTTTGGAGTTGTTATTTCCCCTGATATGCTGTGAAGAGAGGGAACTGATAACCATCCGAGGTGAATGTAATGGCTCATCATGAACTGAGTAAGATTTTAATAACATGTACATCATTACAAAATACAGGTATGCATTAATCACCCGAGTGATCACCCGAGCTTCAAACTGAAGAATGGACTCGCTTCTTTCCTTTCCTTTTCCATCGCTTCCGTTCCTGCAAGCACTCAGTAATCGCATGTCAACCATACTGCTGCAATAACGCTCACAGCATTACACATACACACTGCCGTAACGTAACTACATAAACAAGACCTGCGGTTGGAAAGATGGGTTGGTCCAGCACTTACCACAGCCAAGAAGTAAATGAATGTCACAACAAACATGACGATGAAGATATACTGGAACAAGTTGAACCTGCGGAGATTTCAAAGTAGCACATGTATAAGCCTTAGCACACGGGAAGGAATGAAAGCTCCGATGAGTCTTCAAAAACAGAAAAGTCGAATGCACGTACACGTATAAGTAGCGTATGCCTTGAAGATTTTCTAGCGTGTGACCAAATATATCCTGCACTGCTGTTTCTTGTGCATATGCAGCAAAGGCCTTCGCACAAAATTGTATTGCACTGCATCAAGAGTACGAAGAGTCAGCTGAGAAACAACATACGGTATACAACCAAGCAACTGAACGTCTTACCTCGTTGCACAGCAAAGTATGAGGGCCACGTTAAATAAGAAGGAGCTCATGAGGGTAGCATTCCACCTGGAAAATTGACACATATACGTCTTTCGAGGATAGAATGAACATATTAAATGTGGAACATGTCATACCTCATGGGATGAATTGAAAGGATCAAAATGTTGAGACCAAGGTACATCTCCCCTGATATTACAGCCAGGAAGAGGTAAAAACAAAAAATAGAAAATGCCCCTGTTCCAAGCAGTCCTGCAGGTAAAAAGAATATCACATTAAGTGTGCTTCAATGACAACATCAAATACCAGGGGCACTCACCCCACCACCGGTCGAGGGTTATGAAAAAATCGTTCAGAAAAGCCGATGCTGGCGGCTGAATGAGCATGTATAGGATAATATGCACAATCCAAGCAACAGAAATGGCAAGCCTGCAGAGCGAATAAAACAACTTAAAAATCGGAGACGGGCATTTAACACTGTAATACGCCTGATGATCTTACCCAATGACTCCAAATATTAGTTTCCCAATGTAAACAAGTACAGTCATAGCCCAGAACATCTCTGCTTCTTCTCCTTGGGGGAATCTTTCTCGAAGCTCAGCTTCCTCCTCTTCCAAATGGAAAAGCGCCTGTTTGATAAACACCATCACTAAACGAGCTTAAGAACTTTTGACAATGCATCCTTACCTGCTGCAACTTCTTTGCATTCCGCCTCCATGCCCAAGTTTTGCCTCCACTTCTCTCCTCCTGCTGAAGAGTAACAGCAAGTTCATGTATTTCCTTGGCTTTCTTCCCAATTGCTGTGGCTTCCTGCATCAGCATTTGGTCACGTCAGAACCATGAATATGAAACAACATACCGAAATTTGCAACTGCTGATACCTTAATGTATTCCGAACGGGTTATTGTGGCCCTTGGACGCCTCAGAAAGGACAGAATACATGAAAGTGGCAAAACGGCTATGCCAACACCACCAAAAAACTGTACTAACACAGGCGTCAGTGAGTATGAGCATCTGATGAAGAGGGAGAAGGAGACTTCGTTACATACAGAGAATAAGAGAGACCCCAGTATCGTGAATAATGCAATGACATATTTTGGAAACGAGACCCTCAGTGTCCATGTGGTCTTGGATCCTTGAGGGGAAGAATAAGAAGAACACTGATTTCACAGAAGGAAAAAAAAATTAGGTGCATTCCAACAAAAGGAGCGACCATAAGGTGACGATGTCACTCACCGCGCCCAGACCAGTATTATACAAGGAAACACAGGAAGCCTGACTACCAAGCGAGCTAAAGTCGTTTGTTATAGGAATAGTCGCAGATACCAGCCTCTTTACAGGATACTCCACGTAGCCAACGAATCCTGAAACAGAATCGTCACAGGATAAAATTCCCAAGGAGCCCCCCGAACACAGGGTACATGGCGCAGAGGATAAAAAATTATCTAATGTGCTGCTTACCATAAAGAATCCCAAGGAGCCCCCCGAACACAAATACGGACAGAAGACACCACAAGATCGCGAGCAATACACGTTTTCCGGTACCTCTGCATCATGATGCGAGTTCAGTCATTGATTGAGAGCCAAAATTTAGTAAATGAAATATGGTCTCTTCACTTACTTTTCTTCATCTCCCTCGTACAAGAAGATGGAGAAAGGGATGATGACGAAGACCATGGCGCATATTGCAATCCAAAGGATGTACCACAGAGTTCTCATGGGCAGAGTCTCGGAGCAATCTCCGTTCACAAAGCCATTAATGCAGCTTTGCCTGTTGGAAACGTCCGCAGGAAGCATGAGAACTGAAAGCTGCGCAAGCGTAAGACCAATGACCTGCGCAAGGCAAACCATGGCGTCTATTGAGTATGAACATAACAGCTTCTCCGCAATCCCAACGCAGTTGTATGCAATATTGTTATATACGATCCGAAAAATATCCAAGAGTTTGCGAAGAATGTTGTCGTTGATATATTATAAGAAACAAGTCGCCTACCACGACAAGCTTCGGAAAATACGCTTGGTTCGAGTCATCCGGATGTTGGTAGTTAATAAGGAGATATATACTGACGGCGATGGAAAGCAATGATACAACAATAGCTATAACAAGCAGGGCAATGTTGATATCCCCCATGGCTGCTAATACTAGGAGGAATATGCAATTCGTTAGGCTCGGTGTCACCTCTCATATGCTGCAAAGGTGATGGAACGGGCAGGGAGAGGCTGTTGATTATTGGGTTGGATCTGTGAGCATTTAGAGGACAAGCCGTTTCAGTGAATGAATGAGTACGCTGAAGCGATTCGTACGTCCTCGTTGTAGAGCAAGTCTTCGTTACAAGGAAAAACAGCACTCTAGCCCAACTTGCCTTACCAAATCCTCTCAGTAAATTTGTCTCATTAAGAGTGTTAGAATTCAAAACCACTCTAGCCCGAAAGTGGGTGTACAAGGGAGTGAGGGCAGTTGTGGGCAGTTTCGCGAACATCACCTGGGGTAGTGAACAAAGGCTTTTGGAAGCTGTCGCCGCCGTGAATGTCGGACGGTACATTTTCCCGCGTAAATCCAAGCTGCCAAAACGCCTGGTGCCACCCAACACGGAAATAGAAACGTCTCCGGCGAACTGCACCGCTACCAATCCAATTTGTTTTCGCGACTCGATTCGCCCGGGACGCGATACATTGGCGATGGCTCACGAAGCAAAACACAGGTTGCTGGGGGTTGTTCAGGTGAGCATGTGAAAGTTGGAACGACGTCGCATGTTGAGAATCGTGAAGAAAGGATGAAACATGGAGCGGTAGACCCGCTGATCCTCATTCAGACGTTGGGCTGGAGATGGCCAGGCCAGCCCGAACCGAACACCCGCTTCCTTCTCATTCAGAAACGTCCTCCTCTCATAGCTCCTCGTCAACCCTTTCCGTCGGCAATTTCAGCCCAATTCCCTTCCCGCAGATCCTCCAAGTGCGTTCCAAGGTTACAATCACTCAGATCCCTGTGCTCTCTGCGCACGGGCCATGGAGTCGTCGAGGCAGCTCTCGGCTCTCGCCACCGTCTGCACGCTCGCATTGCTGCTGACGTCTGCTGCTGCGCGGCCCACCAAGGAGGATCTGATCAACGAGGTGAAGGCAGCCCGGGAAGCGCAACGACCCCAAATTGAACGGAAAATACAAGGGCAGCGGCGCTATCGTTGACCAGCTCGTTCCGGTTATGGGTAAGTCATGCTACTTCCCCGCAGTCCTGCATTTGTTGTTGTTTTTTGTGCCTTTTTTTCTCTCCTTCACACCGATGATTTTTTGCCCGTCTCCGGAGGTATCGCGCTGCTTTCGTGCAGTCATTTGTATCCGCAATATTTTTTCCCCTTTCTGTGATTCAGAGAACGATTGGAACCCACCGGACGTGTACCTCGCCAACACCGAGGGAAAAACCATCCTCCTACCCGACGACACGGCCATCGCTTCCGCGGCGCCTGACATGGTTACCACGTTCACAAGTTCCAAGCTCAAGCGCGACGAGGTTACCCCATACGGAAATTGGATTCGCGCGAACATGCTGGACGGAGTGTACGAGGAGGGTGACCTAAAAAACGCTAAAGGATTGAAGAACGGGAACGGTCACATCGTGGGAATATACGGCGGAGGTTTTGGACTCCAAGACTGGAAAGAAGAAGGTGGCGATCGGGAAGGGCAAGGCGAAGATTAGAACTCCGACGATTTTCAGAGGGAAGCTGTATATCATCCATGGCGTGGATGCGGTGCAGCCGAGGGAGTTGATGCGGTAGTAAGGGCGTGTTCCAACGCTCTTATCAGGCAAACCTCTTGTCAGCCTTGCCTGGTAAAAGTAGCGAGGGTTTCTGGGTTTAGGGAATTTTCAGTGTGTTTTGAGGCGAGCTTGATAAGAGGTTGGCCTGATAAGGGGCCGTAGGAACATGCCCTAAGATGTTTTGTTCTTTTTTTGCATTTGTTGTAATAATGCCAATTGTTGTGACGAAGCGATAGCCTTTTGAGGCTGTCCGTTGTACCACTTGTGGTGACGCCATTTGAGGTCTGCCATGTCTGTTGAGCAAGCAGGAAGCTGGTACCCTTAACTGTACGGGATGCTTAACTTTCAAAAGCATGATATACTGGGAGTAAAGGATGGGAGTACGAACATCATTACGGCATGTTTCTTTTGCAGCATCAGTCATGTCATCTACCTTCTATCATGTGAGAAGGTAGAGGGGGGTAGTAGAAGTCTCTGCCTTTGCCCTTCTTCCCTGCTTTTCCCGATCCACCACCTGTAGTAGCATTTTCTCCCTTCAATGCCTCCAAACTGCGTCTGGCACTTTGCCCTGTAGCATCTTCTGGAAACAGCATGGAACCTTCCGCATGTGCATCTTGAGTTGGTGGCAGTGGTTGTGAGGGTGTGGCAGTGGGCGGGGTGAGGAGCGGTGCAGGCGGGAATGGCTCAGCAGATGCAAGGGAGGGCGCACACAGCATGGCCTGTATGGCATGCACCAACTGGCACAGGGGCACGGGTGCATGGGGGGAGATGCATGTCGAGATGAACAAACAGAGGAAGGGGGGCAGAGGATGAGGCATGAAGCATGAAGCATGGGCAGACAATATTCTCTGAATGGGGTGCACCAACTGGAACAGGGGCGGGGGTGCATGGGCTGAGATGCATGTCGAGAAGGGATGCAGAAGGGGGGGAGAGGGAAGCGTGATGAGGAGGAAAGAGCGATGAGAAAGATGCCAAGACAGAACCAACCAAGGTGCTCACATGGCGTTGAATGAACGTCGTTGCAACACCTGGTTTCTACCTGCACTCACTGCCTGCCTCACTAAAGTCAAAGCCACCCGCCTCTCACCTCCTCCACACCAACACCCGCCACGGTTGACACTCTCAGAGCGCCAGCAGGCCCACCGTGAGCCTTGTACTCCTCCCATGCCGCAACGCTTGCCATGCCAGTTGCTGGGACGTCTACTGCTGCGGTCTCCTCCCCGAGTGCTTCCCCCCCTGCCTCAGCTCCGCCCAGCAGCACCGCAGCAGTGTCCCTGCTGTCCGGATCACAACTGCTGCTGCTGCCACCTGTCTGTCTGCCCTCGGTGCCGCTAACCCCTCCTCCTTGCTGCGACTGCTGCTGCCCATCGTTGCTCCCACCTGCCTCTCCACAAGAGCCCATACCCTCCTCGCCCTCACTCCTGCTATCCTGACTCGCCCCCTCTAAAAGCCCCTCTGACAAAATCTTGGCATGGTCTTCTGGGAGGCTATCTGGTGGCTCCTCCGTGGGAGCAGCAGCAGGCAGGTCGCACTTGGATATCACATCGATCCACACGCGGTCGGCAAACCTTGTCTTTATCTCACTGTACAGTTGATACTGGCAAAGGAAGGGGCGTGATGACTCAGTGCAAATGAAATGAGTGCAAGAAGCAACAAATGCAATGAGGCTAACAAGGACGACAGACTGGCTGGAACGACAAACAACTGGCTGGATGCAAGGTGAAATTGGATGAAGAGCGGTGCAGTGCGGTAGGACGGACTAGGTATAACAAGGTAAATGTAGCCGCACTCCCCACCTGCTTCAACCGGCTAACACCGCACTCCTCACCTGCTTCAACCGGCTAACACCGCACTCCTCACCTGCTTCAACCGGCTAACACCGCACTCCTCACCTGCTTCAACCGGCTAACACCGCACTCCTCACCTGCTTCAACCGGCTCACACCGCACTCCTCGGAGGGGTCATGAACAAAGAGCACGGCGGTGGGCAGATGGGTGATGGCTGCTATGGTCAGCAGCTCAATACTGTTGCGCTGCTCTGGGGGCGATGGCATGGGGAGACAAATGGGTGCACATGGGTGAGGAGCGGTGGTACAAATGGGTGATGGCTGTTATGGTGAGTAGTTCAATGCTGTTGCGCTGCTCTGGGGGCGATGGCATGGGGAGACAAATGGGTGCACATGGGTGAGGAGCGGTGGTACAAATGGGTGATGGCTGTTATGGTGAGCAGTTCAATGCTGTTGCGCTGCTCTGGGGGCGATGGCATGGGGAGACAAATGGGTGCACATGGGTGAGGAGCGGTGGTACAAATGGGTGATGGCTGTTATGGCGAGCAGTTCAATGCTGTTGCGCTGCTCTGGGGGGGGGATGGGAGAGCAGTGGGTGCAAATGGATGGGGAGCGGTGCAGATGGGTGATGGCTGCTATGGTGAGCAGCTCGATGCTGCTGCGCTGCTCTGGGTCGCACACACAGGGTGAGAGGAGGAGGACGAGAGGAGCAATGCACAAGCAAGAGGAGAAGGAGGGCACGAGTAAGGGTGGTGGGATATGGGGTATGGAACATGTGCAAACGGATGGGTGCGGCGATAGCTAGGAGAGCTATGCTGTTGCAATCATGTGGTGATGCAGGAGAAGGAAAAGGAGAGAAAGAAGGAAGGGAAGCGGCATCATAGTACAAGACAGGACCAGGATCAAGCACCAAGGCAAGAAAAGAGAGCACTGGGAGCAGGAAGGCGGTACCATCAGGGCGGGAGAGCAGGCCTGGTGTGTCTGTGACCTGACAGCGGTGGGATTGAAGTGAGGAGCACAGAGAGGCAGAAATTAACTAAAGGGCAGCAGAATCGTTCTGAGGCACACAAGCAAAAAGCAGCAGCAGAGAGGAGCAAGGATGATGGTGAGAATGAGGCACAAAGTCGGCTCCAATATTGGAGGCAAAGTTCAAGGCCCTGCCCAGTTCGCTGCATGCTCCCACGGGCATACAAGATGGCATTTGCTGCTGACACTTAGTTGGTGAAAGCAATGTATGCTCGATGGTCCTCGGATGATGCAGCATGCACTATGCCCCATGCGCCACCATGCCCTGACCATGCGCCACCATGCCCTGACCATGCGCCACCATGCCCTGACCATGCGCCACCATGTAACGCCATGGACTGACCTGGTGCTTCTGGTCATCCACATAGAAGTGACCCATGCCCAATGCACCATGACCCATGCACCATGCACCATGGACGATGCACCATGCACCATGCACCATGCACCATGCACCATGCACCATGCACCATGCCACCATGGACGATGCACTACGCTCACTGACCTGGTGCTTCTGGCCATCCACATAGAAGTGACCCATGCTGATGCCCCGCGTGGTGAATGGGTAGTTGCACACCTGCACGCATGCATGGAGACATGCAGCCATGCAGCCATGCATGCACACAGACATGCATGCATGCCGACATGCAGGGTGGAGGAAGACAAGATGAGAGGAGTGGATGGATGCACACGGCGCACAAGACATTACCAGTGGCTTTAAGAATTCTCAAAATGGAGATGCAACCGAGAGGAGTGGATGGATGCACATGGCGCACAACACAAGACAATGACATTGGCATCCACACACGCACACCGGCACGCACACACACAGACACACGCACGCAACCACGCACCTCGGGCTTGCCAGAGGAGATGGCACGCAGGAGGGGCGACTTGCCCATACACACCCACACACGCACACACCCACACACGCACACACCCACACACGCAAACACGCACACACCCACACACGCACACACCCACACACCCACACACGCACACACGCACACACCCACACACCCACACACGCATGCGCACAGGCAGCCCTTCCCTCCCTTACACCCCCCACCCACCCACATCGGGCTTGCCGGATGAGATGGCACGCACGAGCGACAACTTGCCCACGTTGAGCGCCCCCACCAGGCACAGCGGCATGAGACGCACACACACATGCATACACACGCACACCCACCCACCCACCTCGGGCTTGCCACACACACACCCACCCTCGCTGCCTCGCACCTCGGGCTTGCCAGAGGAGATGGCGCGCACGAGGGACGACTTGCCCACGTTGGGCGCCCCCACCAGACACAGCGTGGGCAGGTCCGGCCGAACCACCGGTATGGCTCGGAGCCTCTGAGGCACGGGGGAGCAGGGGAGAGCAAGGCGCAGCAGGGGGAGCAGGGGGCAGCAGGGGGAGCAGGGAGGAGTAGGGGGAGCAGGGGGAGGCAGGGGGAGACAGGGAAGGGGATCAGGTACACGCGCAGGGAAGGAAGCAGTGGAGGGAGCAGTGGAGGGAGCAGTGGAGGGAGCAGTGGAGGGAGCAGTGGAGGGAGCAGTGGAGGGAGCAGTGGAGGGAGCAGTGGAGGGAGCAGTGGAGGGAGCAGTGGAGGGAGCAGTGGAGGGAGCAGTGGAGGGAGCAGTGGAGGGAGCAGTGGAGGGAGCAGTGGAGGGAGCAGTGGAGGGAGCAGTGGAGGGAGCAGTGGAGGGAGCAGTGGAGGGAGCAGTGGAGGGAGCAGTGGAGGGAGCAGTGGAGGGAGCAGTGGAGGGAGCAGTGGAGGGAGCAGTGGAGGGAGCAGTGGAGGGAGCAGTGGAGGGAGCAGTGGAGGGAGCAGTGGAGGGAGCAGTGGAGGGAGCAGTGGAGGGAGCAGTGGAGGGAGCAGTGGAGGAGCAGTGGAGGGAGCAGTGGAGGGAGCAGTGGAGGGAGCAGTGGAGGGAGCAGTGGAGGGAGCAGTGGAGGGAGCAGTGGAGGGAGCAGTGGAGGGAGCAGTGGAGGGAGCAGTGGAGGGAGCAGTGGAGGGAGCAGTGGAGGGAGCAGTGGAGGGAGCAGTGGAGGGAGCAGTGGAGGGAGCAGTGGAGGGAGCAGTGGAGGGAGCAGTGGAGGGAGCAGTGGAGGGAGCAGTGGAGGGAGCAGTGGAGGGAGCAGTGGAGGGAGCAGTGGAGGGAGCAGTGGAGGGAGCAGTGGAGGGAGCAGTGGAGGGAGCAGTGGAGGGAGCAGTGGAGGGAGCAGTGGAGGGAGCAGTGGAGGGAGCAGTGGAGGGAGCAGTGGAGGGAGCAGTGGAGGGAGCAGTGGAGGGAGCATAGTGATGGCAGGCACACCAGACACAGCGTGGGTGCACACTGCACACCACCACTATGGCTCGGAGCCTCTGAGGCACAGGAGAAGAAGGGAGGGGGAAGGGAGGAGCAGGGAAAGGAGCAAGGAGGGGAAAAGGGAGGGGGGCAGAGAGAAGAGTGATGGCAGGGACAGCGCGGGGAGGTCTGGCCGAACCACCGGTATGGCTCGGAGCCTCTGAGGCACAGAGCGGCTATGTTGGCAGATATGCTGTGGGGGGGGGGGGGGGGGGGGGGGGGGGGGGCGCATTCCGTAATTACGCTTAAAAAACGCGAAAATACGTTTGGGCAGCCCGCGGGAAAAGAAAAATTACTGAACAAGCAATCGTGACATTTGCGATGTCCGGATTTATTTGCAATGTCGCGATGTACGTTAGGGTTAGGCGTCGAACCTCGCGAACCCTGTCACTCAAATTTTGAACTCCATCTCTTCCCCACCCTCAACCACACACCACCCCGCTCAACCCCCCTAACCCATCCACTCCCCGTTTTTCAGCTTACTCTCATCTGTAGGTTCATAGCACTTGCGCACTTCAGCAGTTGAGATCTCATTCTGGCCGACAACTAAACGGCGATCTTATTTCAATAGCTGCGCCTTAATTTCGTCAAGACATCTAAGTATATCATTCGTACTGAAGGATATGTCGACCACCCCTTCTCTCCTTCACGAATTGTTTTTACTGCCCGTTAAAAAGTTTTGCCTGCCCGCCCAGCGAATTTTCGCATATCAGCAGTACGCCAGCCATGGAGTATCGCGTATATACCCAGCGTATATTACGTGATACGCGTATTTGCCAACGTAGCAGAGCGGCAGGGTAGAGGGGAGCAGGTAGACGAGCATGGCTCTGGGCAGGAGCAGGGAGAAGAGTGATGATGGCAGGCACAGCAGGCACAGCAGGCACAGCAGGCACAGCAGGCACAGCAGGCACAACGCGGGCAGGTCCGACCGCACCGGCATGAGGGCGGCAGGGGGGAGCAGGGAGCAGCAGAGGGGAGGAGTGATGGCGCAGCAAGGGTTATGGGGGAGCAGGGAGAAGGGCGATGGCAGGCGCAGCAGCAGCATAACAACTTGAGACGGCTGCAAAAGCGTCTCGCAAGGGCCGTATGAATGACACAGGGGTACTACTGTGGTCGGTTGAACTTACCAGGAAGTTGCAGCAGCAGAAGCAGCAGTGAGTGACTGACCTTGGTGGTGCCTTTGAGTCGACTCACAAGTCAACTGCAGCAGCAGCAGCACTGACCTTGGTGATGTCTTTGAGTCGCTCCACCACATGGCTGTTGCGCGTGTACAGCTCCTCCACCTGTGCCATGCCCTGATGGGTGTGGCAGGACGAGAGGTGAAGCAAGGGGGGACAAATCAAGGAGGGGGAACGTTGGAGTCAGCAAGTGGCTATTGCGCCTGTATAGGTCCTCCACCTGTCCCATGCCCTGACGGTGTGAGGGGTGGGTGGCAAGTCAAGTGGTGAAGCAGGAGCGGGGAAGCGCGAGGGGAGCCAGGGGAGTTATGAGATGGATGAAAGCGACAAGCTAGTCACTTATGGGACAAGTTCTGAGAGTCAAGCTAGTGCCAAGGCCCATGGGGACCATCATGCCTCATCATGCCATCCTGCCTTCATTCCATAATCATGCCATCATGCCATCATGCCATCATGCCATCATGCCATCATGCCTTCATTCCATAATCATGCCATCATGCCATCATGACATCATGCCATACATATACACAGCACAGCACCAAGGGAGCACGAGAGTACCTGTGCTGTGGCCTGCTCCGCCTCCTTCACTGTGCTCGTCTGCACGGGACAGGGCGTTCAAAAAAAAAAAAAAGGCCTTCCAATCTATGAGCGGCAGGATGACAGTAAGAGATGGGGCATGTGCAGTCCACGTGTGCAGCCCACGTGTGCGCTACGTACGCATAAGCACAGGTGATTGACAATGAGCGTGGCGAGGCGAGGCTCATCGACTGCGCTGACGGCTCGCTGAGCCGTGTCGGGCTCGTCAGAACAGCATCAACTCAACATGCCGACGAGCCCACAAGCCGACGACCCCACAAGCCGGCAAACCAGCAAAGCTGAATCATGACGGTTCGCCGAGCTAGCTCGAGTCGACTCGCGTCGAGCCAACTTGGTAACATTGTTGGCTTGGCTCGTCAAGTTGTCAAACGAACGGAGCTATCGGCTCAGACAGACTTATGCTCTGACAGAACTTCTAATGCTAACGCAGTGTGTTAAGTGACTACTTATTTCCACGGCACCGACTAGAAAGAAAGGACAGAGTCCGAGCCTGTCAGCACTTTGCTAACAAGGCTGCCTTACCTGACTCTTCCCCATGATAGGCACAACGATTTCCAGACGGCTGAGCTCCACAGGCAACATGGATATTGCTCCAGCTGTGGAAGCTACAGCTACGATGGCAGCTATAAAGCACACAGCAGAGAAAAGCTCAGCACCGTGCAGCACAGTACAGCACCGCACCGGACAGCACCGCACAGGACAGCACAGCACGGCACCACAAAGCACAGCACAGCACCCACCTTGTTGACGAGGCTGGCAGCGTTCTTGCCCACGTCCAGCACCCTCTTGCGCAGGGCGTCCACCCGAGAGAGCACCTGGCAGAGATGCGGTGATATCACATCGCAAAGATGTGGTGCGCACACAAAAGATGCAAACAACAAGGTGAAGGCAGGAGGGAAACGAGTTAATAGAAGATATTAATGGGAGTGGCAAATAAGAGAGAGGGGGTTGAAGACCGTAAAGGTAGTGGGATTAAGAAAGATTGAAGAAAAGCTAACGGCCACCACAAAAGGGGAAGGCAGTGGGAAGAGCAGCTGGAAAGAGGGGGCGGAAGAGAGAGGCCATTAGGCATCATCCTAAAGAAACGATAGTCCCCGTGCATGGCACGCCTTCCCCCTCACCTCCTCTGGTTACACTCCTCATAGACCCTCTTCTTCTTCCCAGAACGACCTCCACTCCACCCACCTGCTGCTGCGTACAGCAGGGCGCGGCGGGTGGAGTGAGGCAGAGACAGGCAAGCCAGCCCAGCCCAAGGGCCTCCCACCCCCACACATTCCAATACAGTCCCGGCATTTCCTCACTCACCCCCTCCACCCTCCCCCCCTCACCGCCTCACCTGGTCGTCCACGCCCTCGCCCAGGGTGAGCTCTACCGGGGAGGAGCACTCCAAGCCAAGGGGTGCAGGTGGGAGCGACGGGGGAAGTGAGGTGAGGCACAGGCAGACCAACCCAGGCATCTCCCCAGCCCAACCACACAAGGCAGAGCTGCGTCTCCCTTCTCTCTCTCAGCCTCACCTCTTCGTACACACCCTTGCCCAAAGTGGAGCTCCACCGGGGAGCCCTCGAAGGGGTGCAGGTGGGTGGGGCAACAAGGGAAGTTAGGAACAGACCGACGGGCCAACCCAGGGGGCTCCCTCCCAAGCCACACAAGCCAATGCAATCACCGCCACACAAGCCAATGCAATCACCGCCACACAAGCCAATGCAATCACCGCCACACAAGCCAATGCAATCACCGCCACACAAGCCATTGCAATCACCGCCACACAAGCCAATGCACTCACTGCCACACAAGCCAATGCAATCACCGCCACACAAGCCAATGCAATCACCGCCACACAAGCCATTGCAATCACCGCCACACAAGCCAATGCAATCACCGCCACACAAGCCAATGCAATCACCGCCACACAAGCCAATGCAATCACCGCCACACAAGCCAATGCAATCACCGCCACACAAGCCAATGCAATCACCGCCACACAAGCCAATGCAATCACCGCCACACAAGCCAATGCAATCACCGCCACACAAGCCATTGCAATCACCGCCACACAAGCCACTGCAATCACCGCCACACAAGCCATTGCAATCACCGCCACACAAGCCAATGCAATCACCGCCACACAAGCCATTGCAATCACCGCCACACAAGCCAATGCAATCACCGCCACACAAGCCAATGCAATCACCGCCACACAAGCCATTGCAATCACCGCCACACAAGCCAATGCAATCACCGCCACACAAGCCAATGCAATCACCGCCACACAAGCCAATGCAATCACCGCCACACAAGCCAATGCAATCACCGCCACACAAGCCATTGCAATCACCGCCACACAAGCCAATGCAATCACCGCCACACAAGCCAATGCAATCACCGCCACACAAGCCATTGCAATCACCGCCACACAAGCCAATGCAATCACCGCCACACAAGCCATTGCAATCACCGCCACACAAGCCATTGCAATCACCGCCACACAAGCCAATGCAATCACCGCCACACAAGCCAATGCAATCACCGCCACACAAGCCAATGCAATCACCGCCACACAAGCCAATGCAATCACCGCCACACAAGCCAATGCAATCACCGCCACACAAGCCAATGCAATCACCGCCACACAAGCCAATGCAATCACCGCCACACAAGCCAATGCAATCACCGCTATGTTGCGGAAGACGCGTCTAGCGTCTTAGACGGTTGCGTCTAGACGCAGCGTCTAAGACGCTAGACGCATTTCAGGCCAGATTAGACGCATATTAGACGAAACCCCGGGCAGGCCAAAAAAATATTACGGGCAGCCTAAAAAACCTTCTATAGGCCATGGGGAGGGGGAGGGGGAATGGGATGAAGACGACCTCTGGGTATAGCAGACGAATTAGGCTGCTGGGACATTCATCGAGATCTAGAACTTCTAGATCTAACATAGACGCTCACAATTTCATATCTCCAATTGGTTGGGTTTTCTAGATTCAGTGCGGTGAAAATCGGTAATGGGAGGGGGAATTGGTTGGTCACGAAATGGTTCACAAATCTGTTGGCTGCGGGGGACGAATTCCAATTTCGACTTAGCTTTCCGTTTTTCAATTTCTCTCACACCTCCTCCGATGCTTCTTCTAGAACGTCTTTATTTGGCCGGCTCATTGTAGAGCAGAGGCGTGCAACACTTTAGTCCTAGCTGCTGATACTATTATGGGGGGGTGGGGCTAACAGCTAGGTTTGGGGGATGTTATCAAGGTCGAAATGGGTGGGAGGGGTTGGAATTTCGCGTGCGCGATTTTTTTTCGGGCTGACCGAAAATTTCCCCCCCGTGCGTCTAGCGTCTAAAGGTGCGTCTTGCGTCTAGCGTCTAGACGCTGCGTCTAGACGCTAGACGCAGGACGGTCCCTGCGTCTTCCGCAACATAGAATCACCGCCACACAAGCCAATGCAATCACCGCCACACAAGCCAATGCAATCACCGCCACACAAGCCAATGCAATCACCGCCACACAAGCCAATGCAATCACCGCCACACAAGCCATTGCAATCACCGCCACACAAGCCAAAGCAATCACCGCCACACAAGCCAATGCAATCACCGCCACACAAGCCAATGCAATCACCGCCACACAAGCCATTGCAATCACCGCCACACAAGCCAATGCAATCACCGCCACACAAGCCAATGCAATCACCGCCACACAAGCCAATGCAATCACCGCCACACAAGCCATTGCAATCACCGCCACACTCCCTCACCGCCTCATCTTCTCACCTCCTCGTACACGCCCTCTCCAAGGGTTAGCTCCACCAGGGAGCGCTCGAAGGGTGCAGGTGGGAGCGACGGGGGAAGAGCCGCACGTAGCGACCCAGTGGACCACTGATCTCCTGCGGAATGATGGCAGGCAGGGAGAAGGGTTGAGCGGTGAGGGGTTAATTGGTGAGGGGTTAATTGGTGAGGGGTTAATTGGTGAGGGGTTAATTGGTGAGGGTTTAAGGGTTCGGGTTTACAGGGTGAGGGATTGAGGAACGTGGACAATGCGCGAGGGCCAGAGGAGCTGCATGTGACGGAAGATGGAACAGCTGAAGATAGGAAACTGGGGAAAGGAGTGAGGTTAAAATGTGGAAAAAAGCGTCCCTTCATACATGTGCATGAGCACATGTAGCAACCAAGCCATACAACCAAGCCATACAACCAAGCCATACAACCAGGAACGGCAAACATCCGACACATGCCCCACCCACATGCCATGCCACACACGTCCCACGTGCCATACATGCCTTGGTAAGGCAGTCCAGTTGCTGGGCGCCTTTGCTCCTCTCCCTCTTCGCTGCATTCATGATGCCTGCACCCACCCACGCATGCACGCACCCACCCACCAACCCACACAGTCACCCACCCAGTCACCCACACAGTCACCCACCCAGTCACCCACCCAGTCACCCACCCAGTCACCCACACAGTCATTCACCATCAATGGAAAAAAGCTGTATGATGAAAGCAAGTCCCATACATGCATCGTGCACAATGCATCAACCAAATTCGCAACATGGAACTTTGGGTTTCGGGTTAGGGTTTCGGGTATGGAGTTTCAATTTTCGGGTTCAAACATAAGGTGATCAGCTCAAAATGTCAGGACAGACGCTTGAGTGTGTGTGCGCGCGCGCGGGAAGGAGGTGAAGGGTGACAGGGCTAAGATCATGAGAGCAACGGAGGAAGGATCACCACCCACGCACGCCTATGCTCACCTCTGCTGGCGCGCACGTGCTTGGCGCGCCGCAGCGCCGTGCCGATGATTTCAGTGGCGGGCGACACGGCTGGCAGCTGCTGCAGCGCGCCGATGGCGTACTGCCGCTTGCCCTGGGGAGGCGCCGACGCGGGGCCGGCGGAAGAGGCGGAAGCGTCGGCGGAGGATGCGGGGGAGGATGAGGGGGAGGGTGGGGAGGGTGAGAAAGGGTAGGAGGCAGCTGTTTCGCCTGCGTTGCCTTCGGCGCCTTCAACAGCGGCGATTGCGGCAGATTTGGTGGCACGGAGCGGGGGCGCGGAATAACGACGGACGGGAAGGGATGGCGAGAGAGGGAGGGAGACGCGGAACGAGTTGATGCGAGATAAAGCGGCGGAGACACGCGTAACGGCGACATTGGGGGCGACAAGGGTAGTAGCGGAGACCCGCGCTCCAGTCGCTGCGTGCACGGCGGTTTTGTGAATCGCTTGTCGCCGCGCGACATCGCTTATGCGACGCTCGACGACAGCGGCGATGGGGACGACCCCGACGATATCGACATGACAAGGAAACCGCCCGGCGCTGACGAGTCGCGAAGCGACACGTGCAGGCGAGTGATAGCTTCGAGCGCGAGTGATTCTGAATGGAGTGCTTCTAGGGTTTCGGCTCCTACTCTGGCTACCGCGAAGCGACGCGGCTACCGTCTGCTTTACATGGAGGCACGTGAGCCTCTGGCATGTGAACCGCACTGCACTGCAAGGCGCGGCGACTTGCATGGCAGCACGGATGGAGCTGACAGACCGACAAATCACGCGGGCGAGATTGACGTCTAGACTGTCGAGAAAGTAACTACTAAGGGCGTGTGTGAATTTTTTTTTCGAACTTCTCAATGTTCGAACTTTCATAACGGTTTCACACGGTAGAATACCTTTGAGAGACGAATGACCACGGTGCAAAGCACACATGCCCCAAGGGCGTGTCCTCAGGGTCGAACTCGTCCGAAGTTCGAACTTCTAGAGAGGTTATACACGGTAGGATGAAGTTTAGAGACAAGCTACCACGATGCAAAGGGATTAAAGTTCGAACTTCGACAATTTTAGGGGTGAGGACACGCGCCCTAATAAAAGGACGCTGCAGATAACGCAACCTGGCGAGGAGAGCAATTGCCCTTGACCTGGGCGGTGTTCTGTTGCCGCACCACTTGATGCGGGGGCGGACAGGACAGCACCTCATCACATGGTGCGGCATCAGGCTTCCGCGAAACTTATATTTGCCCCGCACCACTTGATGCGGCCCTTGGATCCCCCCTCTGAGAGTGAACCAGGGCCGCACCAGTCCCGCACCCATTTTGCCTGGGGGTGGGGGTAGCTTTTGCTGCAGTGGTTCAGCGTTCTTTTGGGTACAGGCGGGCGGACTGCAGTGCACAGCACCCGTCAGGTTCGGAAAAAGGTTCAGTTTCCCGAGCCTAAAATCAAGGAACACGCCCTCTAAAAAGAAGCTCGTAGGATCTCCGGTAGAACCCCGGAAGAAGCATCACTTTGGTGCTGTGCGGGGGGGTCCGCACCAAGTGGTGCGGCAACAGAACAGGGCCCCTGATTTGAGCAGGTGGTACGCCCGCCGCCTGCGGAAATGTGTCAGTTCGCTACTACCGTATTTCGTTATTTTGTCAGTTACCATGTCATTTTCAGGTGTTACCAAATATATTTATTCAAATTTTTGCTGCATGATGGCAACGGATGATGTCAAAATGTATACGATTATAGCAAAAGAGGAATATAAAGAATTTTTTACATTCGAAATTGGGTCTCCCATGGTTCTTCATCCTAGGGGTCGCGATATAATTACTGCTGATGTCAAAACTGTAAACAAGTAGAAGTTGCTCTTATATAAACGAGCGTTACAAACCCGTCCAATTACAAGTTTCGTTATGTTCGATTGTGACATGTGGGCATTCGCGAACATCACCTGGAAGTTCGCGTGGAGCCCGTCGATTGCATGGTTTCCGAGACATTTTCCCGCGTGAATTCATCCCCGCAGGTGCCGCCAAACAAAAAAAAAAAATCGTTGTCGAAATTTCGCATAATATTTCGTCAGGGCCGCGATACCTTCGCGATGGAATTAGCGCAACCCATGCAGATGTGCTTGTTCATGCAAGTGACCAGGAGTTTAGAATCGCGTCGCATCGCATGTCGTGCGGGATCCAGGCAGGATCCTGCCAGTGTGCCTCACTCAGGCTGGCGTGTGCCCTGCCTGCGAGGCAGCCTGCCTGAGGTCGTGAGCTCACAGCATTTAGTCTCTTGTGGTCGTGAGAATCCATAGCCGACCACACTCGTTCGAAATTTCGGCTGAAGATCCCAGCGGAATTCGGTCGACGGAGCCGAATTGCCAGGGTCGACGAGGGGGGTCGACGGAAGGGGGCCCGACGAGGCGGGCGACTGACGCGCGTGCGGGCCCGCCAGCCTGGCCCGGGGCCGGGCCGAGCGCACGACCGCCGCCCCGCAAAACCCCCCCCGGAAGTGAACAGCGACCCACGTTACCGGGTGGGGGCGGCGAGCTGGCGAGACCTCGCGCGAGGGAAAGTAACCCCGGCGCGAAGGCAGCCCACCCGTCCCTCCTGCCCGCGAGGTCCTAGTAACCCATCGCGGCCTGCCCGTACGGGCAGGCGAGGCCCGTGCGAAATTCGGGGGCTCCCCTCGGGACGATCGGCGATTTCGCGACCCGTTGCGGTGACGCCACGTGCCCGCCCGTCGTTTCGCATCGTTTTTTCTATGCATGCGACATTTCGTACCCGCCGAAAATCGAGCGAACCCCTGGGTCGCTCGCACCAAGGCGAACATTTTTCGCGACCCGCTGCGAAATCGACACGTGGTGCCGAAACGTCGCACCGCGTGCATGCGAATTTGCGTCCCCTGGCCGACCGGGGCCGGGTGACGTGACGTCGACCTGCTGGCTCGGCGGCGAGGGTGCACTTGTGCCACGCCACCCGTGCACGAGCCCTGCCGAGCCAGGGACCACGGCCCCCTGGGCGACGCTCAACCGGGCCTGCGAGGCTCCGCCTGGCTTTTCCTCGTCGGAGGTGGCCTGGCCCTTCATTTTCGCGTTCTCGTTTCTCTTTCATGTTCTTTCCCAGCTCTGCGCCTTCCATTTTCCCACCGTTTCCCTTAGCCCGTAGCATAGCATCCTCGCTCTCCCGCCATGGCGGCCGACCAGAAAGCCGACGAAGCGACGCCGACCTCGCGCGACTTCCCCCTGTATCTAAGCGTCGGTAGAGGACTCACATCCAAGTTCGAGGAACACGACTACGCCGTTCTGACAAACCCTATGCTAGAGTTTAACGCCCGTTGCTTGGGACTCGGCCTCAAGTGAGTGACGTATGGGGATGTCGGCGTCGTTATTTCATGCTGGTGATAGCCCTAGCGTGGTTTCATAATACCCGTCTTTTAGGTCGACGGACTCATGGGTTAGGGATTAGGGATGTCGATCACATCGGTGGCGCCGACGTAAGGTGTCTGGTCGGCGTAGGCGATGCGTTGTGCCATATTCATTCGGCTCTCGTCGAATCCCCGACCCGTCGTGTTATTGCCGCAACCGTAGTATCTGCCGGCGTCCCGACCACATCCTCACGCACTCCTCCTGATCATGCATGCGTGCAGGCACGCATGGTTGCGCGGAACGGAGAAGGACCAGCGGCTGTGGTCGATAGGAGTCGGCCGTCTTAGGGCGGCGATGGGTCAGAACGACCATACCGTCTTCGCGAAGGTTTTTGACGCCGACGTGGCGGTTATCCCACTGATATCGAGGTGAGGGTGTTCGGGGTCGTCGCGCGTGTGGTGCAACCTGCGTCGATTATGTGTTCTGATCTATGTCGACGTCCATTGTCTGTGCAGCATCGCACCGCTTCCGGGAACACATTGCAGCGTCATTATCATCCTGTGCCCCGGCGACTTGTTGAAGGCATCGGGCCAGTTGATCAGGACCTCGATCCGGCACGCCGACCCGCAGACTGTGAAGGAGTGGCACATCAAAGAGGCGAAACGCGTGCTGGAGTGAGCTCAATAGTGTAGTCGACGCCGCTTGCGTTGTCAATGCTTAGCGTGCACCGTGCTAACTGACCGTCTGTGCCATGCTTTGCAGGTTTTTCCGGGCGGCTGTAATGGCCGAGCTTCGGCGCGAAGGTAGGAAATGGGACTGGGCGAAGCCGTCCGAGGAGGAGGTGCATGCGAGGCTCGCCGACTGCGACGAACCCCTTCGAGATGTGAGTTTCGTACGTTTGGTGTCAATTCCTTGCGCGATGCAACTGCCGTTCGTCCTTGCGAGATGCGACTGCCGATCTCGGTGCTCATATCAGCGCTCTCCTGTGTTGTGTGCAGAAAGTGCCCGACACCGTCCGGGACGGGGACGCGGGCTCCGGCCTGCTAGCAATGAGCGCGTTGCTCTGGGCGGTGAGGCGGAAGGATCGGTTGGCCGGCGCCCTCCGTCGCAGTGCCACCAGCATGGACAAGGTCGCTGTTGCGGGGTTGAAGGGGCTGCGGACTGAGATGGTAGCCTTCATCAAGAAGCAGGTCGCGCTCATACGGTCGGGCCGAAACGTAGTTGCGGCCGACGTCTGTGACGACGACGGC